GGTTGGACTGGATGGCCCATGAGGTCTCTTCCAACTCTTTGATTCTATGACTCTATGATTCTATGAATCTGTTGCTAGATTCCATGGTGTTAAACAGGAAATCTGCTGCTCAGGTGAGGGAACAGGAGTAGAAGTTTGATTGCTTCAATGAATTTTGCATATGCCTACTTGTAAGCTGTCATGGAATTGAAAAGCAAAATGTAAACTATTAAAAGACAAAGTTTCTATACAATTTTTTAACCATTATTTGGAAGAATAGATATTTCTGTTGCCCAGTAATTCTTTATTTGAGAAAAGCTCTTTTTATTCTATTGTAAGCGAAATGTACACTAAAATTTCAGCTGGGAAAGACTCATTCTTGTTATGTACATTTTTCCACTCTTTGACCCAGGTTGCTGTCTGTGTAGCAAAATATTCTTCTTCATGGATTTCTTAAGTCTGCTTCAAGGCCGATGTTGAGTGAGAACAAAAGGTCACCAGCAGTTTCAGGAAGTGCGGGGATAGTGGGGCAAAAATGATTTAATATGCAAACATTTATTAAGAGAACAGACTGATGGTCATAAGTTAATGGATGTGGAATGGAAAGTAGAAATGTAGATAATGTATAGATACCATGGAGCTTTGCTGCTTAAATTGTATGTAAGCAAGGCTACATTTTTCCTAGTCATGCTGTTTTTAGGGAAAGATTTGTTTAATTTGGACATGATTAAGTTTTCTTGGGTGAGGAATATTACCTACGTGAAGGTGCTTGCTTTTACAGGCAGTTCCCAAGTTGTGAACTAGATATGTTCTGTAGACTTGTTCTTAAGTTGAATTTGTATGTAAGTCAGAACATGTTCCTGTTTTAAGTGTAACTCAACCAAAAATATATATTCTTTAGATCTGCTGCCTTCACCTCTTTGTAGTGCTCTTGTGATAAGTACTTTGCTTTTTAAAAAATTACCCAAATACAAATTATTCACAAATACCTTTGCTGCAAGTCAATCTTTCATGGTTATTTTGTGTGGACAGTTCATTATTATCTTGTATGAATTTTGGAATACATTATCTATCATACAAAGAAGTCCTGATGATTCCGTAATTGATCTTTGCCAGAGTTCCTTGAAATCAGTGCTTTTGCCATTGGTAAAATGCCATTGTTGGTTGTTTAAACCCTCAGATCACTGATCATCTTAGGATTTTATTAGCACAGTTCCAGCTATCTGTATTTATACATTTTTCCTTACTCTTTTAGCACTTATTTATAAATGTTATGGAAATAACACTAAGGATGCATCTATACTTTAACTGCCATAGCTTAATGATTTGGGATCATTGGAGTTTTAGTTCTACAGTAACTTGGTATAAACAAACTGCATACTTCTAAAACCCAGTATTCTTCACTATTGGCTACACTGTCTGTCGCTGGTGCGAGTTGCAATTCATTGTTGATTGTTAGATATCGTTATCTAACAATTTGGCCCACTTTTATCATAAAGGCTCAATTTGGTAGTAGTTCCAATTTAATCACATCAACTGATTCAATGCAAACTTTCATTTAACCAATGAGTGAACATAGGATTTATCCCTGAGTAGTAGTTGCAGTAGTATAGTAGTAGAAACGCTAGATTGTAGCCAACCTGTTTGTATTATGGAAACCTGCTTTGTCTGCCTGGGTGCTCTGTGGATTAGCAGGCAATGCTTATTGGAAGGTGGAGGGTAGCTAGCTGTAGAGATCTATCAGGGTTTCTTCATCCTCAACACAAGCCCTATCTCTCAGTCTCCTGTGCTTGAATGTGTATACTTAAAGATGGGCAGCCAGGACAGGCCAAAAATTCTTCTGATGTACCACGCAACTTCCTGCCCCAAAGTCTTCTTGCCTGAACTCACTGAGCAGTGGCATGAGCTTTCCCTCACTAGTTGTGCTGGGGGATGTCAACATCCATTCAGATATCTGTTTATCAACAACAGTTCAAGATGCCTTGTCTATCGTGGATCTATCCCAAGAGGAATCTGGTGTCACTCATGGTGCAGGACACACTTTGAACCAAGTTTTAGTGGAAAGTGGAATGATGGTAATTTGGATGTGGAGGAACTTAACATATTTCCATTGTAATAGACTGAACACTAACTCGTAGAATTTAAACTCACTGGAACTCCGAGCCTCTGCAGGGGTGGGCCTGTTTAGGTTGGGTCACTGCAGGAGGCTTTTGGAGCGGGATGGATTCTTGGAGACTCTTATTGCCTTGGTAACAGGTGGTACTGTTGAAGTTTTGGCTGATTTCTGGAATAGGCAAATTGCCAGGATAGTGGATGTGATCCCTCATGAGTGCTCCTCCTCAGGGAAAGGAGCCAAGTAACAGTCTGGTTTATTATGTGGCTGAGGGTGATAAAATAAGTGGGGCAGAGACGAGAGCTATGATACTCGAAGATTGAGAGTGCGAGTGAACATGGGCTACTACTCATTGGAAAGCCTCTGCTTTGGCAGTGATAGTGTGAAGATCCCTTACCTTGCCAGCCTGGGTGGCAGGGCCTAGGAGAGACAGGATAGGTAGTTTCAGCTTAGAAGGCCTGGCAGAGGGCAGCAGGAGCCATCTTAGTTTAGGGAAAGCTCCAGTTCAGAGAGGGGGAGTGGCCTAGGCCTGAGCCAGCCTAGAAACAGCCAGGATTGGTTTGTAAAAGGGGGGCGGAGTTAGACTGTTGGAGGGAAAGTAAGAAGCTTATTTAGTTCAGTTCAGTTCTGGTTGATGTTAGAGATAGAGCAGGATTATAGCTATTAGGAGTTCGTGATTAGAATAGGCAGTTCGTCTGAAGTTTGCACAGTGAGATAGGCTGTGGCAAACCGGTTACAGCTATTTTAGGGAAAAATAGCTGGGTTTTGTAATAGGAACTGTAACAAAGAAAGAACCATACTCTCATGCAACCGTTACGCTTTTAAGAACAAGAACACTTTAATTGTAACAGCCAAGCCTATGAAACTGCATTCACTTTCTTCTGTAACTTCTATTCAATAAACTTTTCTTGTTATTTTTGAAACTTAAGCCTGAGTCAAGTGCCATTTGTGGATTCAGTCCCTTTTCTTTTTAATTCAACCTCATCTGTTTTCCTACAAAGAAACCCTTTTAAAAGTCAGTACTTGGTGGTGTTTTAAACAACCTTTTTAACATCTTAAATAGCTAGAGGGTTCCTGTTCATTTGTACTTATGGTGGCGGCGAAGGAGTAAATAAAGAGACATCCCCTCAAGTGTTATCTAGGTGCCAAAGTGGTGTGAATTCCTTATTAAAGGAGGGACAGTGTTGGGATCTGTTTGCCCCCTGTCCAGTATATTGTTTGGCCATAAAGCCTAGTTATTATAATTGGTGGGGCAGCGGTGGGATTCTTTGACCCCCTGCCCAGACGGCCATTAAGGAGCCTTTATAGATAGCAGGTGGGGGAATCCTTCACTGTCACCATTTCTATCTATAGAGTGTTGTCCAGTGGAGCTCTCTCAAATAGGAGCCTTTTACATTCTGCCACAAGAGTAGTATGTAAACCACTCAGAAGTTTGCAGTGAAGAATTTGCACAACAGTTTGCTAATAAAAAACATTTGGGTGTGCTCTAACCTGGCTGCTAGTATTTGCAGGTCCAATTGATGTAATTTGCCCCTTGCTTGTCCTTTGTTATTGGATACATTTCAGTTTGTGTAACTTGAATATGTAGACGGGACCCTTGGAAAGGCAATAACCAGGATACAGATGCTGCACTCAAGGTTCCTGCCAATTTAAAAGCAACCTGAAATTGACTGGAGGAGTAGTGAATAATACCACAGTAATGCAAGGCAGGTTTCCATCTTTCCTAAAAGAGGTAGTGGTCATGTTATTATTGAAAAATACCTTTTTTAGTCTCAACCGTGTTGAAGAACCATCAGCTAGGCTCGAGTATCCTTTTTGGACTTCTTCCATGCTTGATGAACTGGTAGGCTGGTACAAACTTTTTGGGAAAAGATAATCAAGTAAACAAACAAAATAATTACTTTAAAAAGGGTAAGAAAACCCCAGAAACGAGTAAAGAAGATATAGAAACAGCATGGAGTGCTGACCAAAAGATTGACAGTGTGAATCTGGGGAGCGGGGTGAGCTCCTGCCGTTAGGCCAACTTCTGCCAACCTAGCAGTTCAAAAACATGCAAGTGTGAGTAGATCAGCAGGTACCACCTCTGCAGGAAGGGAACAGCACTCCATGCAGTCATGCTGACCATATTATCTTGGAGGTGTCTATGGACAATGCTGGCTCTTCAGCTTAGAAATGGAGATGAGCACCACCCCTCAGAGTCAGACACGACTAGACGTAATGCCAGGGAAAACCTCTACCTTTATCTTTACTCCTCAATCCTAAGGAGTACTCTTCACAGGTAATTTGCATGCAAATTAATATTTTCTGAAAAACGGTCCAGTATTGCACATGAAAACAGTTAGTACTGCTCCAGGTGGGCACCTCAAAAAACAGAGCCCCTATTATTCTCAGACTGAAAAAAATGACATTTTTATTACTTTGTGTTTTTTGGAATTTTAAAAATGCTTTTTCAGCATTCTGTAATGTGGTCATTTCCCTGGGGGGCTCTTTTTAGACTACCTATTTGAAATCCAGGTGCTTTAATAATATCTATAATTTTTTATTTAAAAACCACATTTATTATAAGAAGATGTCATTGGCTTTATTGAGTAATTAATAGAGATCATTAAGTTGTCACTGTGAGTGAAATCTGAATACATTTGCAGCTTGAAAAACATACAATGTACAGTCTGGGAAGCAAAGGAAAGCATTCAGCCTTTGGATTTATTCCTTGGTATTATGAACAGATAAGTATTGTTATCTTCCATAATAGAAAGACTGTTCTAGTAGAGCTACTGAAAGGATTATAGTAATATAAAGTGAAATTGATCTGTTGGGGGGACTCATCTTGCACAATTAAAGATAGTTTCATTTACTGAGGAACAAAAGAATAGACATGTTTTAAACATCCTTTTCATTTATTTCATAGGATTACCTTGAGTGTATAACTGACCAATCCAAGCTTTCTCTGGGGACAGAGGAACGATCAGCATTGTTTGGAAACATAAAAGATATCTATCATTTCAATAGGTAAGTAAATAGTTGACTTAAGTGAAAGCGTATACACTGACTACTAATCAAAGTAATTGCTGTGTTCCCCCACCCCCACCCTTCCAGCAGATTAAAGACTGAATTGAAACAAGAAAGGAGTCTAGAATAAATAAACCTGGGTGCGGTAACATAAAACAAAAAAGCACAAGGTATCTATGGAGTTCTACCATGACTTCTGTGGAAACATTTGAACATTTATTTCATTTAAAAATATGTCAGGTGGATGCAGAACAAACGCTTCTTATAAATGAAATTAGATGAGCAGGAAACCAAATAGCAATGTTCTGTTGACTATATAGATGTTCACTTTCTGTTCTTAGTCCCTTGTTAGCTTCTCTTATAAGGGACTACTATCAAGTGAGGAGATGGGTTACTTTTTTCCAGGCTCCTGAATATAGGGGTGTGTTTCTGAATATAGGAGTGTGTTTCTCATAAACTCCAGACACCATGCCATTGCTCAGGATCTGTAGTACTGAAAGCATCTAGAAGACACCTGGTTGTCCATAGCATACTGAGAAATGTAACAAGAACAGGAGGAGCCTGAAGATTGTGTACTCTGTGGTTGTGTTGTGTTTTGTTATATTTGTTTTTTGTGGGATTTTTGCAGGATTTTGTTGGCATCTGGTTCTGTCCCTTTTGTTTTTGTGTGTGTACTACTGGATGGCGCACAATAATCATTTCAGTTTATTGAAATAAACTGGACAATCCTAACTTTGGTACTCAATTACTATATGTACTCTAATATAAGCCTAGTTTTTCAGCCCTTTTTTGAGGCTGAAAAAGCTCCCCTCAGTTTATTCTCGGGTGAAGGTCCTAGCAGGAACGTGTGGGGCTAAAAGAAGGGCTTCTTTCAGCCCCATGCTTTCCTGTCAGGATCCTCACTTTTCCACACAGCAACCCACTCTCCTTCTTCTCTTCCTCTCTCACACAGTGCACACCTTCCTCTCCTCCTCTCACGGAGCCAGTCTTTCTCACTTTTCCTTATTCATATACACACAGCATTTTCCTCAAAATGTATAGTTAAAGTAAACTGTGGTGATTATTGGAAAGATACATAAGCACATTTACATTGAAGAAGGTTAGAATAATGATTTCATCAGAGTTGGACAGTCTTACCTTAATGTATTGTCGAAGGTTTTCATGGCTGGAATCACTGGGTTGTTGTAGGTTTTTCAGTCTATATGGCCATGTTCTAGAAGCATTCTCTCCTGACGTTTAACCTGCATCTATAGCAAGCATCCTCAGAGGTTGTGACATTTCGCCTGCATCTATGGCAAGCATCCTCAGAGGATGCTTGCCATAGATGCAAGCAAAACATCAGGAGAGAATGCTTCTAGAACATGGCCATATAGCCCGAAAAACCTGCAACAACCCAGCCTTATCTTAATTACAGTTTTATGTAAATATTCAAAAACATTTAACCTACTGATGCATCAATTAATGTAATTTTATTGGTATCTATTTTTATTTTGAAATTTACCAATAGCTGCTGCATTTCCCACCTTCGGCTTATACTCAAGTCAATATGTTTTCCCATTTTTTGTGGTAAAATAGGGTGCCTCGGCTTATATTCGGGTCGGGCTATACTTAAGTAAATATGGTATATATTTTTTACACTAGAGAATCTGTCTAGTTCTTTTAGAACTGCCCTTCCAAGCCCTAATATTCTTCACATTTCTTAACAGCAGTCTCCATTTTGTATATCATCTGTGGCCATTGTTTTTGTATGCTTAATGTTCAGCTGTAAACCTAAAAATGGGGTTTCTGGTCAATGCAGACAATATCTAGTTACAAAGCCTCAGGGAGTCGTGTGGAGGGGATCTATCAAAAGAATCAAAAGGCTATGGCAATTGTGATTTTCATTTATAATCTGCTATAAAGTTCATAGCAGTGTGCATCCACTAACAGAAACAATTGACAACATCTATTTTGTTACCCCTCCAGTACATCAAAGCTAAATAAACAGGCAGCACATGAAAGCGTGCTTATAAGCCCAACAAGGCAAAGTTGTAAAAATAAAACTGTCTATCTTAGTGCAGGAAAACATCTGGGAACTTAAGTAGTGCAGGGTTTTTTCTTTCCTTCTTTAATACCTCGGGCGGACTTTTGTGATGGCATTTATCGCAATTGAGAGTGGAATAGCTGAGAAAGTGCACTTCAGTACTCAGAAAGAAAGAGATAATGTGTGTGATTATTTATATATTTCTCCATGCCTTCAAAAATAGCTTCAGCTAAGGATAACATTCCTCCTCTAAACAAAGGCCTGGAGGAGGTAATGGGCTACATGAGGAGAAACAAACTGAAACTAAATCTAGACAAAACAGAGGTGCTTGCCATTAAGGGTCCTAATCTGGGGATGGTGGTGTGTCAACCAGTTCTGGGGGAGGGGTTACACTCCCCCTGAAATACTGCCAAATAGCTTCTGGGCAAAGTACAAGAAACTAAGTTTTTGACCTTTAAAGCCTTGCATGGTTTGTGTCTAGGTTATCTTCTCCCATACTATCCACCCCAAACACTTAGACCCTTTGAGGGACATCTGCTCCAACCAACCAGAACCCAACTAGTGACCATAACCCAGAAGACCTTTTCATCGGTCACCCCAAGACTGTGGAACATGCTGCCAGGAGAGCTCTGACAGCTAAATGAGCTGCTGGAATTTAAAACCTATCTAAAGACCTATTCTTCCAGCAAAGCTACCCAGTTGGTTTTAAGCATAAATTTTAAACCCGTGTCCTATGTTTTAATCTATGTCCTGTGTATTTAATATGTATTATAGAACTAAATTTTAATATGTGTGTTTATAGAATTTTTGCAATGTTTGTGTGTTTTCACTGTGCTAAGACCTGTCTTGAGCCACTAGGAGAGGTGGGTAAGAAATAAAATTATTATTATTTAATGCATAGCACTAACAATGGTGTCATAAAACCAGGGATTATTGGATTTTATTATTCCTCTTAGAGTTCACTTGCAGTGTCTGGTGTCTCCAGATTCCTTTATTGTAATGAAAAATAATTTGGTTTAACCTAGCAGTTAAGAAAGCCTGCTCTATAAAAGCTAGAACCGATTTGTTGACACCAAAACACAGATGTGTGCAGTTTTTTAAACTCTCTTTTGGGAGCATAAGTTAAGGGGAGGACTGTCATGACAAGATCATGCATTTCAAACTTCACCACTAAACAGCACCGTGACTGCCACATGAATAAAGTGCTCTACCTGCCTGTAACCTTCTCCCCTTTTTATTACAAGTTGAGTAACCCTTATCCAAAGTGCTTCAGATGAGAAGCAGTTCCTTTTATTGCAATTTATATTCAAAGTGCAGAAAGTATTCAAAGTATTTAGAAAAAAATACTATTTTTCTTTTTTTCTTTGTATGAACTAGTGAACTTTTGCAAGACTTGGAAAACTGTGAAAATGACCCAGTAGCTATAGCAGAATGTTTCGTATCTAAGGTAAGTGATATTATTTTCTTTGTAATATTAAACAGGGCTCTGTTTTATTTCAGCTTTTTCATACATAAATCACCTTGACGATGACACCAGATCTCTATAACTGATGAGTTATTTTGCAAATGTAATCACATCAAATAGTTTAGTATGAGTGAATTCTCAACTTTTAGTTGAGTTCCTATCTGTATTTTGTATTCCTGCTTTTTTCTGTCAGGAGTGAATTGAGAAACTGCAAGTTGCTTCTGGTGTGAGAGAATTAGCTTTCTGCAAGGACGCTGGCCAAGGAACTCCTGGATTTTTGATGTTTTACCATCCTGTGGGAGGCTTCTCTCATATCCACGCATGGGGAGCTATAGCTGACAGATGGGAGCTCACCCTGCTCCCCAATTCAAACCGCTGACCTTTCGATTAGCAGTTCAGCTGGCACGAGGGTTTAACTTGAATTTCAAATATACCAAACATTAACAAATTGATGGCTGAATTTCAAAAATTTCAGACAATTTAGTGTAGTTAACATTGACTTTAGTTTGAGATACTCCTTTTTTGACTTTACAGTGAGGACACTTTCTTTTTCTGAATCTGTCAGAGACAGCTTATGGGTGGTCCACAAATGTATGATGAGAAATCTTTGACTCTGAGTTCTTATTCCAAAATACTTTGTGGGATGGATGTTTCTACTTTAGATGTATGGAGTTGGTTTTGGCTTCCGGTGCTTCTCAAGAAGAACATAGATAGCATCTGTCCTTACTCTTTCCCCTCCTACATTCATCTTCTCTCTCCTTGTGACATTTTGACATTTTATTCACCTTGTCAGACTTCATATGTTAGCATGATCTGTAAAGATATATTTATGGCTCTGAATAAATGTATGTGTCTTTATATTTTCTTGTATGAGGCAGGATGTTCCTGCTTGCCAGAATGTATGCAATTAAATGGAAGTTGGATGGAACTGTAACTAATCCAAGGATAATATATATATAGAATACTGGCCCAGAGAGAAGTATCGTAAATTTATTCACAAGCAAAAAAGTACAAGCTATTTCCCTCACATCCCACCCAAACTGTACTTTTTAGAAACCGCAGCCCCCTCCTCCTGCTATTTATTAGTTGGTGGAAAGGGGTCCAGAGAAGTGTCCAGCTATGTTCTTATATCTGTATGCATAATGATATGCCATTCTCTAGGAGAAGCCATTTCAACCTATGGCGCTCCATGTGTTTTTAACTTCAGCTCCCAGAATTTCTGGCCATTGAATAAGTGGCTAAGGCTTCTGGGAGATCGAGGCCAAAACACCAGGAGGACCGCAGGTTGTAGAGGCCTTTCCAAAGGGTCCTCCAGAGGTACAGAAGAATGACCTTGGTGCTGTATGTCCAACTGTAGGAACTTAGCTGGATGCTTCTCAGCTGCTCTCCATTATTTAGTGGACAACCCACCAAAATGTTGGTTTGATATGGAGTTTGGCATTTTACGTCAGTAGAAAATTACAATCCATCAGTGATTACCAACAAACACATAACTAACAAAATCCTAAAAGTCAGTCAATTTTGTGATGCCAGTAGAAATCCTGAATTTGTGTGTTGACTATATTTTTATTCAACTGCAATACATTGCAGCCTCATTTATTAAGGCTGTCAATCAATTACAATATTAAAACTCATTGTGTTGCATGGCAAAATACCACTAAAAAATCTAGAGCAGCTTCCCCAGTGGGACAAAGGATGTATGTCGAGGGCTTTCATATGACAACAATCATAATTTAATCTACATCTTATTTTTCCTTCCCCTTGGCTGTATGCCAGGATGCAATCACAAAACATGAATACTAAATACCAGGAGGTTGGGGATTAAACAACGCCTTAATGGATTTATGGGACTTGAAATATAAAAGCAAAGTCACCGCCTGATTGGAGGAGATCTTGAGCTAGGGGGAGTGGAGCGACTTCCATGTCAGTCAGTGAGATAATAAAACTGTTTAAGATTTTAGTCCAAACTTCAAAGGCATTACTAAAGGTGTTTGAGAATATACCTTAGCATCTTTATCTGATACGAGAGGCACCAATCATTACTGGAGAAAACACTTGCACAGTGGAATACAGTCATGTACACAATACCAATTATGTCCATAGTCACAATTCTGTTGGTAATTTCCAACTACAGTAGACCCATTGTATCAATTATTCAATGGTAAATCAACACTTAGACCATTTAATGCAGTTTCAAACCAGTATTAAAGAAAGTGGTTTCACTCTGCAAATGAAACCATAGGAAATCTTAGAACTACTTTGAGGTCCAGATGGTGATTTTTCAAACCACAGAGCACTGGTGCACATTTCTTTCACACAGTTTTGTGGGAGTTTGTTGTCTCATCACCACATTTGGAAGCTAGCTTCAAATTGCATTAACTTGGCACTGTAAATGAGACTTGCATCTTCTTTATTCATGGCTAACAATATGATTTAGACCCATATTTCCATAGATCACACATAAATGGGTGGGGGGACAAAACTCAAAGTATGGAACACTTTGTTTGCTGGGCCCCAGAATCTTTCCAGCCATCATTCAGAGAATTCAGAGGAGCCTGGGAGCTGTAGTCTAGAACAAACTCTTGGAATAGCAGCCAGTGGACAGCCAGCACCCTAAACAAAGGCCCCATGCAGAAAGTTATAGGCATTCACAGGTCACAAAAGGATTATCGGCAGATGAAAGCCAGACATCTTTGCCTTATCTTACTGATTTTCAGTGCATTTTTTAAAATGTCAGTTTATACACAAACATCAACTGAATGACTGCAAGAATAGACATCTAGACTTGGCAGGCTAGATATTTTACAAAGAAATTGTTATGTCGACACTGTCCACCATGGCCCCTAAGTGCCATGGTGGACAGTGAGAGCAGAATGCCTTTAGCATCCACATCTGCACCCTCCCCCAGTCCAATTCTGGATCTGTGCTAGTGGACTGCAGGACTCTTCATAGCAGAGACTGGAATATACTGGAACCTGTGGAAGGGAAGGGAAGCCCTATTGCCAATGCCAAGTGAAACTCATGCATACAACATTGGATGTTGCACAGCTTTATATTTTTATTGGTGTTTAATTGGCTCTTTTACTATTTGCCCCTTTAGCACATTCTCTAATTCCAGTTGTTTAATTCCATGACAGCAGGGTGGAAGAAAATGTACTGCAAAACAGAAGAAAACATTTTCTTACGAGCTTAAAAATCAGTTCATATGCAGGATGATGTTTCATAGTTACATGATGTTATGGCTGCCATGGAGGTTTAAACATAGTTATAGTGGATTATATAGCACTGTCTTGTATGTTTTTTTCTACTTGCTTTCTTTTAATTTTTATTTAGAGTGTGGATGTAATTTAATACTGATTTTTGCATTTGCTTCTGTTACAGTGAGAGCTAGAATGCGAATCTATTCCACCAGCTAATTACAGACTGTAATGTTTCTGCAGTGGATTGTGGTTGACTTTATTATTAGTTCCTTGCAGGGGTAGCTTTCAGCAGTAGCTGTTAATTTAAAACGTATGCATTTAATAGACTGTGGTTCAAGCTTATTGTTTTTATGTCAGTGAAGACAGCTATATGTATTTAAATCTGATGTGTAAGCAAAAAAGTATCAGTAAAGGCTCAGCTGAAGTCTGTAATTACTGGGTGGACTATCACTGTCTGGCAATAAAACAGTCTCTTAAGTAGGATGGAGAGTTTGACTAATCCTTTTTTTAAAAAAAAAAAGTCAGGTACACTGTGCTTATCAGATGTCATCATGCACTGTGAAATGGTTCATAAATCCTTCTAACTCTCCCTTGGGTTGCACACCCACAGCTTTTATGTGTGAGGCCAGGGTGGAATGACTGCATTAACTGAATTTTTAAAGAAAATTTATCAATGTTACAATTCACAAAACCATGAAAAAGTATATGTGCATCCCTTGGCCTCCCAAGACTAGGGAAAGATTGTAAACTTCAGATTCTTCTTGTTCTGTTCCCAATTTATGCAAGTTGTCTGATTGTAAACTAAAAAGTGCTTGAGTCCATTTAATATTTGTGTAGAAATTGGGATTTCAGTAATTGTCGCTTGTTATGCAACCAGGGAAAAAGCAAAACCTGCTGAAATTCTGTTTTACACAACTAGTAAAGGAACAGAAGTCCTTTCCAGTTGTCATTATGGGAAGCCTAGAGCACAACTGAAAATGTATATTCTTGAAAAATATTACAGACCACTTTAACTGGGTTCAAACATGAAAAATGCATGCATTGAGAGCATAACAGAAAGAGTTGTTTACATATACTGTAGTTATGGAAACTGAATCCCAAATTAGGCAGGAACTAGGACTAGTAGATGGATTTGTCATTATGGCACTGCCATTTCGTTTATACTGGCTGCTAGTCTTATTTCCAGGTGCAATTGAAACATCTGACATTGACCTATAAAATTGTGCAAGATGGGATCAAGTACCTGGGCTGAGCATCTCCCTTATTTGTTTAAAGTCTAGTATCATTTCCTGAGATTTTTTCCAAATGCTCTTGCCAAGTGAGGTGACGAGGGTGTTAACAAAACCATCAGTCTTCACCGTGGTGCTTACCTATTGTGGACACAGCTGATGTCCACATTGTGCTGGTTTAGTGCTGGGTGAAGACCTTATAATTCTCTCAAGCTTTGGAAATGCTTTGATTTTTTTAAAATGTTAGTACTTTTTACATCCTAACACTACTGACTTTCTTTGCTGTTAATTTTGGCTTTTACTCTGTTACTGTTGTAATTTGTTTTTGATCTTAAGTTTACTATTATATTCTTGAGTTTTAGTTTTATTTTGTTAGCTGCCAAGATAGATTCAGAAGGTGGGCAGCAAAAATGTAGTGGCTAAAGAGGATTGAAATTATGAAAGACAACCTAGGCAGCTCTGCAGGCTATTTTTCTCTAACCCTTTGCTTTTCTTCTTGGCTGACCAGAAATGAGTACATTGCAGAAAGGAAATTAAAATTTTCTGTTTCTGAAAATAATGAAGGAATAGACAACAAGACCTTGATCCAATTGTTAGTCCGAAAGAAACATATAGAATCAATTACTGAATAGTAAGGTGGCTGTTATATGAATAAATCTGATAGCATCAGTGGGTCTGCATTATTTGAGATTGGATTTATGGGCAATATTCCCCAATGAACTGTAAATTACCATAATGAGTCAATTTTCAAAAACAAGTTTCTAAATAGCACTGATACATGCTTTTGGTAACTAAGGTTTCTGTGTGAGTAAATGGGTAGAAAAGTGACATATATTGGTGCATTTGGGGTGGTGGGCTTGGAGGTTTAGAGGACTAATATATGTATTAGGCTATAAAATAGTGGTGAGTAATGTGCTTTGCAAGACAGCTTCTAATAAGTGTTGATTTCAGAGTTTCTAAGCAGCTCTGATAAAACCAAGATACTAAACAAAAAATTTTCTTCCTGATTCCTATTCACAGAGTGAAGATTTCCACATATACACTCAGTATTGCACCAATTATCCAAGGTAGGGAAATCCTCTGTTCTGTGTATTTTTTGGGAAATTATCTTTCTGTGCTGAACATGTAATGAAGTAGAAATGTGGTTTCCTTAAACAGTATTGATGTTAGATACTTCAGTGTCGATGTTACATACTTCATTTTGTTAAACTACACTTACAGCACACAACTCTGTGGAGCCTACGTATCCAGCCAGTCATATCCAGGTTCCTCTGTTTTTCATCCCAGATAGAAATATCTATTTGGAGCAGAGTGGGGCAAGAACATCAAGAGAGGATTTGGGCCCTGGTGTTTTATTTCCTCCAGGCCATCCAGGGTTACCAGAGTGAAAACTGATCAGGGCTGTGGTAGTGTAGAATTGGGGATTTAAGCAGGTGTTATTTCTTATTTGGTTGTGTGATAACCAACACATGATGAAATCTCTACACATCTGTTAAAGATGCAAGAGTCCTGTTTTCAGTCAAAATCTTTATCAAGCTGGAGCCGCCAGGTTTTTCAAGCAACAAAACAGACAGTTGCCAAGCCAACCTGGGACTTCGTAGCATATGTAAGGAAGGCGCATATAAAGCCTATCTAAAATCTTAGGAGAAGAGGGCCTCTTGTGTGAGTTTTAAGCTCCTGTAACAGTAGAGGTCTCTTGGGAGCCTGAAAGCCTTTGAAGTGGTCATTTTATCACATGATTTGAGAGAGGTTTCATATAGCCCTACCTGGCAATAGAGAAGGGAGTAAAAAAGATATTGTGCCAGTCTTGCTGCCAACAAATGGACCCCCAGAGCATTTGGTATGTAATTTGAGGTCATTTTTTTGCATACGAAACACTGAGTCATTCTGTTCTGAGCACAAGCTAATAATGCCTGTTCTTCCAATTCTCACTGGATCAAAAAAATACAGAAGCTCAAAAACTTATGCAACATTGCGTGTATCTACACTGTAGAATTAATGCATCTTGATACCACTTTAACTGGAATCCTGGGATTTGTAATTTGGTGAGTCACTGGCAGTCTTTGGTATAGAAGGCTAAAGACCTTTATTCCATAATATTAAGCCATGGCAGTTAAAGTTCTGTCAAACTATATTAATACTACAGCGTAGGTGTATCATAGTCCAGGTCTGGAGCTTTTTTTGGACCACTGAACTCCAATAATATGTACATACAAGGTTTTTTTCCTGTTCTGTAATATCAGGATACCTGTGATGCAGTAACATTTTCTGCTCTTTTAAAACCACCAACTTCAAGCAGAAGGCAGTGCAATGGCAAACTCAGACATGGCAGTTTGCAGATTGCACAGTTGCCAAAAGCAGTATTTGTCAGCATCTTGCTTGGAGTAGTCTTATAAAAGGAACCAGTAGTGTAGCGTAGATGTGTGTGTGAAGCTATTGTTTCCTGTATATTTAATGTATGAACACATCATGAAAATATTTTTGTATCTTTTACAGATCAGTGGCTGTCCTAACAGAATGCATGAGGAACAAGTCTCTGGCCAAGTTCTTCAGAGAAAGACAAGAGGCTTTACAGCATTCCCTACCATTAGGATCCTATCTCTTAAAACCAGTCCAGAGAATACTCAAGTATCACCTACTTTTACATGTATGTTGTCACTAATGTACATCTTTTTTAATGTTTTCCTGAATTGTACAGGATTTTTTTGATTTTTTTATTGTATAAAACCAGTCACTCTAATTTGAGACAAAGCACACCTTTGTGACTTGATCCAAATTGTCTGAATCAGGGGCCCTGCATCTGAGTTCCTGTTGAAAAGTCATTTTCCCAGAATGTTTATTCACCATTACTGGTGGAGGTTATTGCAAACTCCATTTTTGGTTTAAAATAACAACCAAAGAGGAAGAGATATCTTGCAACTTTGCTCACTGGTGAAAGCAGTATGGGAACGTCATCCACCCATGTCCCAGTCACCAGCAACTGGACCTTCTTATGTCAGAACGATTGGTTCCTGGTAAAACAGGGGTTTTTTGTGTGGTGGAATCAAACAAGGGAACACATACGTGAGCTGTTAGTCAACATTTGGAAAGCTATTATTCCCTATCCTGGCTATAAGGCATGGCTATATAATTTGTAATTTGGTCTCCACAGTGTCAGGGGAACCCATTTTTCTTTTCTGGTATATAATTTGTGACTCATCAAACAAAGCACAATCCACTTCAAAAAAAAAAAAGTATCAGCATGCCACCTGCCATGGAGGCCCTCTATATCCAATGACCCTTTCAAGGCAACCAATGGACCTTTCAAGGCTGGTGTGGCCCTCCATGAAAATGGGTTTTGACACCCTTGATCTACACCAGTGGTTCTCAGCCTCTGGGTCTCCAGATGTTTTGGCCTTCAACTCTCAGAAATCCTATCAGCTGGTAAACTGGCTGGGATTTCTGGGAGTTGCAGACCACAACACCTGGGAACCCACAGGTTAAGAGCCACTGATCTAGACAATCCAAAGAGATGGAACTGCAGCTAAAAGTGTGCTAAGGATCAGATTATTAATTATTATCTGCTTGCCTAATGTGGATTTTATTTTATCTTCATTCCCTCCTGGTCTAGGAGATAGAAAACCATCTTGACAAGGACACTGAAGGTTATGATGTGGTATTGGATGCCATAGATACAATGCAGAGAGTAGCATGGCATATTAATGATATGAAAAGGAAACATGAACATGCTATCCGTCTACAGGTGAGTAAAAAAAAATACTTCCCAGGATTATTTAAACAAATTATTTAAACATAAACTGAATTTGATTTTTTTGTGTTTGATCACAAAATTTACTTGGCAACATGATTTCCAAGAAATATTCCCTACCCCCCACTTGTCCAAAAGATGGGACTGTGGCAGTGATGTCTCTTGGGCTGTATTAGAAAGCCATTGGAAAATCTGCAAAGATGGAGACTCTCATAAAATCTTTAGTATGACAGGATTCAGGTGTCTTTTTAGTAGTGACGGTCTCCCATGTTTTCCGGTGGGCATTAAATAGACTTGTGCTATATAATCTAGTCCCTACCCTCCCTCCTCTGCACTTTTCAGGGATTAGTTGGGGCTGGGAAGGATTTTTCTTCATTCCATTGTGGCATGTTATTCACTTTCTTTGGGTTGGGTTTATATATGTTAAGCTTTCTGTATGAGTAGTCCCCTTTCAGAAAACTCTTGATGTTAAGTAGCTACAGCTCTTCATCACAGCTGGTGGGAATTATGTGTGAAAGGAAAATCTCATACAACAAAAGAGATAGGGATATGAGAGCAGGGTAGCTCTGGATGGCCCTAGAGTAACTGTAGGGACTCTCTCATTCAGACATAATTCAGTTTGGACTCAGTTTATTAAAAGTAAACTTGAACTTGTGTATTACATGAGAAAACATTTTTGATGTAGGGGCTACAACTAGAATAGACCTACTGGGTCTACAATAATAATAATAATAATAATAATAATAATAATAATAATAATAATAATAATAATAATAACTCATTTGCTGTGATATACTGTGTTTTTGTGTCAGTAAAATAATAATAATAATAATAATAATAATAATAATAATAGCTAGCAGAGTGATCTTGTTTGCTGTGAACACATATTGTTGTGTTTCTAACAACAACAACAACAGCAATAATAATACACTTTATTTATAGTCTGCCCTTCTCCCCTAGGGGACTCAGAGCAGATTACAGCATTTACATACAGTACATAGCAAACATCCAATTTCTTTATAGTCATATACAATGAGACACACAAACACAAACAAAGACAGAATCTTCTCCTTTCCATATCTGGCTTCTGGAATCGGTGTCCATCTCTGGCCCTCGGAAGTACCTGCATTTTGTGTGGCCGGCGATTGCTTGGAGCATCTCTTTGCCTTTCCCACAGAAGCAGTACTTATTTATCTACTCACATTTGCCTGTTTTCCAATTGCTAGGTTAGCAAGAGCTGTAACTGATAGATGGGAGCTCATCCTGTGTCATGGATCCGAACCACCAACTTTTAGGTCGGCAGTTCAGCAGCACAAGGGTTTAACCCATTGCGGCACTGCGGCTACTGATTCGGCTATTTATCTGGTTACTGATAAAGGCCACTGATTCAGTAGACCTCCTCCAGTTGGGACTAGCAGTTGAATTTATGTCCCATTGGGAGAAATGTGCAATTGGTATTGATGTAGACAAAATGCTTTTTTCCACTTGTGACTATAGAAAGAACATACTAGTATATGTTACATAGTTCTTATTGATTAAAAGCACTGAGAGGCAATGATTTTTGACACAGTTAATTCTTTCCTTGCTTGTTCTCTCTTTTTCAGGAGATTCAAAGCTTACTGACTAACTGGAAGGGACCAGACCTTGCAAGTTATGGGGAGTTGGTGCTAGAAGGAACATTCCGCATCCAGAGAGCCAAAAATGAACGCACTTTGTTCCTCTTTGACAAATTGCTTCTTATTACTAAGAAGAGAGAAGAAATGTTTGCTTACAAAGCACATATTTTGGTATGGCTAGTTCAATTTATTTTGGGGGTGAGGTCTCAGACTAAGATAATTATTAATCCATGCACTGCAAAGGAGAAGAAGTCAGATATTGTAGCACTCAAAATATAAATAGTAAATAATTTTAATAAGTTTAACACATTTTCTATATAATCACCCTCTGACTGATAAACTATTCTTTCTATTTCAGTGTGGCAATCTCATGCTGGTGGAAGTGATACCAAAAGAACCCCTTAGCTTTAGTGTTTTCCACTACAAAAATCCCAAGATGCAGCATACTGTTCAGGTATTTAAAGGGTACAATAATCTGCCGTGAATGCATGCTGGAGTATGACATTAAGGGGTTACATTTCTTATGATATGTATCCTAGGAACTGTGGTGGTAGTGTCAAACACATTATTAGTACTGCACTTAAGTTTTTTTATGTCAGAAAGCCTGGGAAAGTTTCCTTTTTGAACTGCACCTACTAGAACCCTTAGCTAAAGGGAATTGTTGTTCAAAAAAGAAACATTCCCAAGCTCTAGACATGATCTGGCCCTATCCAATTGTGCATCACCCATCACCTACTGAGAAAAATAATGGTTCTAAATTAATGCAAAAATCCAGTTAAGCCTGGCTTTTTAAAAAGCTCGAGCTTTTTCCAGTCTGTTGAAAATTAAACAAAATGTTAATGGATTTGGAAAGCTATTCTCTTGTTGCTGTTGAATCTCATTCAATTCATCTTGAATCTTGTATCTGAGTTCTAATATTTGTTTCCCCTTTGGAAGCCAGTTTTATGGAATTCTAAAGCAGGGAACAGTCTAGTTGAATCCAACTCTAGGGGGTGGTGCTCATCTCAATTTCTAAGCCGAAGAGCTGGCGTTGTCTGTGCACACCTCCTAGGCCATGTAGCTGGCATGACTGCATGGAGCGCTATTACCTTCCTGCTATGGTGGTACCTGTTGATATACTCATATTTGCATGTTTTCAAACTGCTAGGTTGGCAGAAGCTGGGCCTAACAGTAGGAGCTCAGCCTGCTCCCCGGATTCAAACTGCCATCCTTTCAGTCTGCAAGTTCCGCAGCTCAGCGGTTTAACCTGCTGCACCATTTAATGTTAGCTTTTTAGAATTTACTGTGGTTGAATAATTTAAAAAATCCAATATGACTTTCCCACCTTTAATTTCATAGAGTTGAATGTAACCTTGCTTACAAACAGATCTATTTAGGAATATTAATTCATGAGTTAATTTGAGGTCATATATCTCACTTTTCAGTCAAATTATTCCTTTGCTTTAAATAACCTTGTATTTGTATGTGAGCATTGGTTTTTGCAGTTCTAATATACAAAAATGGGGCCACGGTGGCACAGCAGGTTAAACAGCTGAGCTGCAGAACTTGCTGACTTGAAGGTTGGCATTTCAAATCGGTAGGACTGGGTGAACTATTGTTTTTAACCCCAGCTTCTGCCAACCTAGCAGTTTGAAAGCAGGCAAATGTGAGTAGATCAATAGGCACTGCTTCAGCAGGAAGGTAATGTCAAGGGGAAACCTTTACCTTTACTTAATCTATAAAACCATGGTAGAAAACCATTGCAGTGATGGACGGGGGAAAGGGGCAATTTTGTCAGAAAATTGCAGGACACAAAATGCAAAAATGCAAACTCAAACACATTATTATCACATTATTGAAAACATTGGTTTTTTATTGTTGTTTAGCTTCTTATAGTTAAAAGTGTTGTGAGCTATTTTGAAAGGCCCCTTTGACATGAACATTTGAAAAACAATAGGCAAAGAAAAGTATTCAGAGATAAAGAATGTACTATCTTACAGGGGTGTAATGGTGTTGTGGTGTCCTGACCCATATCTTCCATGGAGAAGTTAGATCCTTCCTAATAATGACAAATTTCTTTCCCTTTATTCCTTATTTGTGTTATTAATCTAACTGCAATCAATCTATTTATTTCCTCATTTTGTGTGCGTTCTTGTAATCTTGCAACAGGCTAAATCACAGCAAGAGAAACGCCTCTGGATTCTTCATCTGAAGAGATTAATCCTGGAAAACCACCCTGCCAAAATCCCAGCCAAGGTAAACCAACTCAAACATTTATTTTATTGTGTTCTTGCTCACTCTCTCGTCCTCTCCCTTCCAATCTCTGCTTTTCGGATAGCTACATATGTGTAGTGACATCATGACAAATAGAACATTGATAAAGTTCAGTTGAATCCAAGCTGCATTTTGAAATTAGCCTTGTTTCCCAGATTTTATACAAGTACTCTTACAGGCTGATTTTTCTGCCTACTTTGTGAGCAAATGTAAAAAGTTCTTGGAATTTATATGCTGGCAAATCAGTTGTCATAACAATAGAGGAAAACAATTCCTCTCAACTCATTCAGACCATTCATCTATCCAGTTTCACTCCATGTACACCAACAGGCAGTAACTTTATAGGGTTTCAAACAGGACGAACTCAATATGGCTTACAATCTCACACTTTCGTCACAATTTGAATTTGGTGCTGTTTGTATGCAAACCACGTACTACTGACCCTTCCCTAGTCAAGTGCTTCTTAAACTGTAGACCCCCTTCATTCAATGTTGGGGCCCAATTTTATTTTTCCTGAATATAATGCAGTGGCTGTTTTTGATATTTATATAATTAATTGTGTAGTGTTTGCAATGGACTCTGCAGAAGATGCCTCAGCTGTATTTCATTAAAAGGGAAACAATGAATCCATAACTGAGCCAGGATTTTACTCCATATAGGTAGATCCTAAATTATTTCCTGGTCCTTAGTCTTCAAATTGCTATTTTCAAATGTTCCTATGCGACACCTAGTGGAAAATGGCTGAGCAGCAACTCCTAATCATGCATGCATATTGTATATTATCTTGGTCATTGCCTTGTTATAGATATGATCTGAGGGTTTTTTTTCTATATTTCTGTAAATATTCTGGAGAAATTGATAAAAAGGAAAACTCATATTTTTGGAAAGGCTTCAGATATCCACTAGAGCTCTCATAGCAGAATCCCTTTTTAGGGGTGGCACTCAAGGGTTGTAAGGACTGCAGAGGGGAGTGCCATCATAATATATATTTAGCTTGTCATTGTGATATAAATTAAAGGTAAAGGTTTCCCCTTGTCATTAAGTCTAGTTGGGTCTGACTCTGGGGGGTGGTGTGTTCATCTCAATTTCTAAGCCAAAGACCTGGCATTGTCTGTAGATGCCTCCTAAGTCATGTGGCTGGCATGACTGCATGGAGTGCCATTACCTTCCCACTGAAGCAGTGCCTACTCACATTTGCATGTTTTGAACTGCTAGGTTGTCAGAGGCTAGGGCTAACAATGGAAGCTCACCCTGTCTTGAGGATTCAAATGGCCAACCTTCTGGTCAGCAAATACTGCAACTTAGCGGCACTGTGACCCCATAATATGAATTAGTTGTACTCGAAAATGTTGTTGCCATTAGCAACTGGTCCTGAATGCTCTTCACTTTCAGCTGAAAATGGAGGGGGAAGAGTATATCAAAGTGCTTTTTCCATGTGAAGGTGGTCTGATGAATATATGAAGCCCTTGCAGAATTCACCAGTTTCCCAATGCAAGCACCCATGACAACAAGGGAAGACTGCTTGCATAACAACTCTGTCCATACTCAAATTTCAAGTGCTTTGGAAGAAGCAACATATTCCAACTTGAGATCTTGGATTGCAATACTTTCTTCAGAGTTCCTTGAGAAAATTGAGTTATGACTTTGAGCTAGGAATTCTGTTGAAATTGCACATAGGTCTTAAGACGAATCTGTGGATAAGGGGATGGGTACTTAACAGTTTCTTCCCTCTCCAGCTTCCCCACAGTAAATGTTCCTTGTCTTTTAAAAATATGTATTTTTATTACCAGACCATAAATAAGCCTGCGACAGGTAGAAACATGATCTCTGGTGAAAAATTTAGTTCTGCAATTGGTCATATGCATTAGATCTTTGGCCTTCAAATAGTTAATGTATCTGTTTTGTTTTTGTTTTTTCAGGCCAAGCAAGCAATTCTTGAAATGGATGCCATGCGTAAGTATGTTTTGTTTATACAATTTGTCTTTTTAATGTTTTAAAGGTAAGGGATAAAAATAGCATGAGATGAAAATATGTGAGCTAGATGAAACCTCAAAGTGGCTAGATAGTCATAAAATGATATCATCCCTTGGTATTAAGTTTTGGCATCTTCATTGATTAAAAGATAGGAAGATCTTGAAAACATGACCATAGCCTTGTGCATTTGCACCTACCTTTGCTTTTTATGTTGTGATAATAATGTTACCTTACATTGTTTTTTCTTTCTTTCTCCAAACCTTTGGTCTTTGCTTGTAGCAGCTCCATATGATTTTTAAGACATGGGGTACATTACCATAGAATTAATTCAGTCTGACCACTTTATCTTTTCATAGCAAAATGCTATGCAATCACGGAGTTCTAGTATTACAGTCTTTAGCCCTCACCCAAAGAATGCTGGTACTTCACCGAACTACAAATCCTAGAATCTAATAACATGGAGCTGTACTAGATAAAGTGGTCTCAAATTGGATTAGCTCTACATCCATAGTTACAGAGCATCAATGTATGGTAATGGAGAATGGGAAAAATCATTGTTATGGATGATGGTGGTTAATAATGAAAAGCACAACTGAAGAAATTAGACACACATCCAATATTGTCTATTCATGGTACAAATAGTTCTTACATAGCTGTTATGTGTGAACACTATAAATACCATCCTCTCCAGAATTGAATTAGGTTCTGGGAAGTCTGTACCTTTTGCTTTTGTTCTTTTTGCCCAAGACTCATTTATTCATAACTTTGAGAAAATAGGGACTATTTTTGAGCTAGATATTTTCCCATTATCCATGCAAATAGAAATTCTAGAAATACATTTACAAAGTTAAAAAAAAAGTAAGCCAGCAGATGATAAACAGAAACAGAGGCTGGATAGCCATCTTTTGGGAGTGATTTGATTGTGTGCTTCTGCATGGCAGAGGGTTGGACTGATTGGCCCTTGGATCTCTGCCAACCCTTTGACTCTGATTCCAAGCATTTTCCATATTTCAACATTGATAATTATTTTATTAGAATATTGAAAGAAGTTAAACCTATTTTAAAAGCCTTTCTGATAGGCAGAACCTTAAGGCATGCATTAGAATTGTATGGGAACATAAGTTATAAAGGAATCACCTGCCACAGGGTGTAACTTTTATTCATTCACTTTATATAATCCTGCATTTGTGTGTTCTGAATGGTTATTTTCTTCCCACAGAAAGCTGAGCCTCATTTCCTAAATGTATTTTATTGACCATTATGTCCATAAATGTCATTGTTTATTTATTAGTAGTACTGTTGGCATTAGTTTTATTTGGTCAAGTAAACACTTTCTACAACTAATATTGGTGATATACCAAAGATTATTATTCATAATAGGCCAATGGAACAAAGAGCATTCTGTGTTTTGTTACTAGGAGTGCTTAACAGATATTCATTATTATACCTGCTGGCTGTACCCTTCAGGAAATGACTGAGGGTTGTTTACTCCATTTATCAATACCATCGTAATAGACTTTGCCCTGGTCTTCTTTTTTCCAAAGAGACAATGCACCACTGTCCCACTGATGCCAACATGATCTGCTGCAGTGTTCTAATATAATTGCATCATCATGCTGTATCAAGCATGAAGGACTACATTGTAGCTAATGTAAAAATAAGAGTCTTTAAAACAGTACTATTATTTAACATTACTGAAAACTAATGGAATTATAAGGATATGCATGACAAGGAAGGGAAATCATTTTTATAATATAGGAATACATTAACAGGAAGAATTGGGGTTTTATTTTTTACAGATTGTAAGAGAAGAACTAGATAAAAATTGGCTGTGCCAAATAAGAGAACCAACCTGGCTTAGTGGTTTGAGTGTCGTAACTGGAGACCAGAGTATCCAGTTGAAACCCCATTTGACTATAGAAACCCACTAGGTGTCCTTGGGCAAGTCACTCAGCTTCAAAGGAAGGCAAAGACAAATCTCTGTACACAAATTCTGCTGAGAAAAATCAGTGATGTGTTTACTTGAGCATTGCAATAAATTCAAACTAATTTTGCACTCAGTAAAGTTGGCAAGATGGTTTGAGCCACATTTTGCTCTGTCTCTGCGTGTGATGTTTTACCTTCCCTATGAGTGAATGGCAACCACAACCAGGGACAAAACTGGTTATTCATGATTATATATTTCTATTTCTTAATCTTTATAAGATCTGCTAAATTGCCTATGAATGCTTTATCTGAAAATGTTGGGAATTGGTCTTCAGGCCATTTATTTAGATGAGAGGGGCATCTCTGGAGTTTTGGTACTCTAAGCAGCTGCCAAGTTTTTAAATGTTTAGATCATTTGATATGAACTAAAATCAAAGAGAGCTTTTGAGGACAGTGAGGGGGCTGAATCTGTTCTCAAATTATCTCAGCCATTACTAAGTAAGGCTGCTCTGATCTATATAGACATTGTCTGAGTTTTGTTTTCTGTAAATGCTTCACTATGACAAACTCTTGGGGAATGGCAGATCTGATGTGCCAAGTAATAATTAAATATAATCTTTCTACTTTGTAAAAGATCACCCAGGATTCCATTTTGCTACAGAAGGAGAGTTGAAAGCATCAAGCAAGTCTAAAGAAGGCATGACCCAGCAGAGAGTGAGACGGAAGTCAGGTAATAAAACATATTGCCGCTGTCCATATGCTATGGTTATAAACCATAGCAAATGTTTGTCATTGAGACTCTTATAGTCCTTCATCTTTTGCTATGCTTACTAGTGATTTGGGCAATTGAAAGCCAAAACCATCTGGAGACCGGACCCCTGATATCAACTCTAGCAGCAAACCCTATTTGCTTGGTCTTGATGTGATCATACACACATCAGTGTTGACAATCAAACATGGTTCTGATGGGTTGCTGTAAATTTTCCTGGCTGTATGGCCATGTTCCAGAAGCATTCTCTCCTGATGTTTTGCCCACATCTATGTCAGGCATCCTCAGAGATTGTGAAGTCGGTTGGAAACTAGGCAAGTGAAGTTTATGTATCTGTGGAATGTCCAGGGTGGGAGAAAGAACTCTTGTCTGCTTGAGGCAAGTATGAATGTTGCTATTGACCACCTTGATTAGCATTGAATGGCATTGCAGCCTCAAAGACTGGCTTATTACCACCTCATCTGAGGATGCCTGCCATAGATGTGGGTGAAACATCAGGAGAGAATGCTTCTGGAACATGGCCATGCAGCCCGGAAAACTCACAGCAACCTGGTGATTCTGACCATGAAAGCCTTTGACAATGGTTCTGATGGTTGGTCAAGGAAATTCTGCACTGCAGAGATTGCAGAATTTCAAGTTCCTGCTTCTGTGTCAGCTACTGATTGTGGTTGACTTATCTCCTCCAAGAAGTGTGTCATATCACCCTCCAAAAGCTTTTGGACTGCAGCTCCCAGCAGTTGCCTTTTTATCTTTGGATAGGGCTGCTGGAACTTGAAGAGCTCTAATCTAGAAAACTACCCAATCTCCAACCCTCATTTATACTGCAGTTTCATTTTCTCCCACATTTGAATTTTACAAATTATGCATGATGCTTTTTAAAAAAAGGACTTACATGCTTACCCATTCCCAATTGGAAGGACAAAATATTGTCACCTTTCCTATATTCAAATATTCTGTTAACATCTGATTAAAACATGAACTGGATTGAAGTATTACTCCATCCCTGTGCTGCTGTTTATCTTGTTTTTAATATCATCATTGGGTTACAAAGTATAAAATATACTAAACAAACAACTGTTTGTTCTCCCCTTAGAACCTTCGTCCAGATCACATAAAATTATAAAATCAAGTGGTAAGTTAAAAGATTACTAAAATATAAAAGTTTTAATTAACAATAAGAATTAAAACGCCATCTGGCAGGCTTTTGTGTAGTCTTAAACCTATGTTGTTAAAATTGCACTGAAAGCAAGCCATGGAAGCAAGCAAAGATAAATGCCACTATTTGAGGACAGAAAGGGATATGCTGAAATGCAGCCTCGTCACTTATTGCTTGATGATTTTATCTGAACATTTGAATATGTATATCCTGCCCTGTCTCAAGTGAACTTAAAGGTGGCTTACATCTTACCTTCTTTTTCTCCAGATTTACTGTTGGATTTTTAACCTTTGTATGCCACCTTGAGTCCCCATAGTGGGTTTGAATGAAGTAACAACAACCATGATAGTGGTGATTGCAGAGTTGGTAAACCTTGTGACTGGTCACATGATCTTGGACTTCAGTTCCAGTAATCCCCAGACATGGAAGTAGTTTTTCAACTACAGGACCACAGTTTCACCAGACTTTTTCTAATATCTTTTGAGATTGGTGATCATCGGTCATACCCTCTACTTGATTCCTGGTGATCTATACCTTTTTCTGATGTTGCCTTCTACCTCAGAAGTTCAGTGAAGAGCCACGACAAATTTTCAGAGACATTCCCACATCCCCATATGTATGCTTAAACTTTAAAGGCACTTAGTTATAATGTATATGTGTCAAAGGGTGCATATTACATTTTAATTGTAAAGGAAACAGCTCTTTGGGGTTAAGTTTGAGTTTCAAATCTCATGAAGTAGTTATTCACAATGCCAGTGTACAGTGTCAGCATACTTGCACAATATCGTATTTTTAATAAATGACACTTAAGAGTTCTTGTTTTCACCTTCTCAATTTCAGAAATGGATACAGGCATTCAAAAGGTAAGCTATATCATTTTGTCTCATTGATGCCTCTGTCAGTTGATTACAGTGCCTTAGATCTGGAATATTGAATAGTACAAAGTGAACATCCCTTTCTGGAAATCCAAAATCCGAAATACCCCAAAAGCTATTACTTTGTGATGGTTCAGTTTATGCACATTTTGCTTCATGCATAAAGCTAATAAAATTACCTTCAGGCTATGTGAGGTATACACTAAACATAAATGATTTTTGTGCTTAAACTTCGATCCCATCTCCAAAATGTGTACTTAAATGCAATACAGATATTCAAAATCTGAAAAAGCCAAAAGCCAAAACACATCTGATCCCTTGCATTTCAGATAAGGTATATTCAAACTGTTCTAACAGTTTTACTTTGGTTTTTACAGTTACAATTCCTGTCTGTGACTGCCATCTGGTGGCTTTCATATTCTTGCCTTTTTTTTGTGTAAAACGTATATGGAAATAACAACTGAAGGAATAAAATAAAATATTTTCATGTACAAGGGGTTGTGTGTGTGTGTGTCACATAGTACACATTCACACAGACACACACACAATATTGTTCCCTTGTGCAGACTTCAATAAAATTAAGGGTTCTGGATCAAAACACAATACAATGCATGTTCTTGATCAATTCATTGGCTGGCCCTGAGCTGTAGGCTAAGACATATTGCTGCTTCTGTCCTCCTGAATTCAAACTTTGCTATTTCTTCAGCAGCCATCAAATAAGACTCCACTGTTTAGATCTGGCCCATTTTCCCCACCCATGCCTTAAAGTGAGATTTACTCTTCTGAATAAATGCATGAATGACCATATTTCTATTTCCCTTCCAAGCGGATCAGCATTGAAGAAGCCCTGTTGTCTCAGGCTGAAGCCCTCCTTAGTCCCAGGAAAAAGGTTTCATTGAATTACAAAGCAGTGGATTCCAAAGAGGCAGCCTACAGCAGTGATCAGGAGGATAATGCCCTCGCCATTACTACGGATCAGACTGATGCTGATGATGAGGAAGAGACTGAACAGGTACCCTTGGTTTGGTGGGAAGGATATAAATAATAGATACATTTATGTCTAGGCTGGATGAGGGCTAACAGGTTGAAATTGAATCCTGACAAGACAGAGGTCCCCCAGGTCAGTCGCTCGGCCGAATGGGGTATAGGGTGGTAACCTGTGTTTGACGGGGTTACACTCCCCCTGAAGACACAGGTCCACAGTCTGGGGGTCCTCCTGGATTCAGAGCTGACACTTGATGCTCAGGTGTCGGCGGTGGCCGGGAGGGCCTTTGCACAGTTAAAACTTGTGCGCCAGTACCTCGAGAAGTCTGACTTGAACATGGTTTTAGTTACCTCAAGATTAGACTACTGTAATGCACTCTACGTAGGGCTGCCCTTGAAAACGGTTTGGAAACTACATCTGGTGCAAAGGTCGGCGGCCAGATTGTTAACTGGAGCAAGTTACAGGAAACGGTCAACCCTCTTGTTTAAACAGCTCCACTGGCTGCCGATAAGTTTCCGGTCCCAATACAAGGTGCAGGTTATCACCTATGAAACTCTAAACGGTTCAGGACCTGCCTATCTGCGCAACCGCCTCCTCCCTTACGACCCCAAGCAGTCCTTAAGATCTTCCAGGGATTCTCTTCTCTCGCTCCTGTCCCCGTCTCAGGCACGGTTGGTGGGGACAAGGGAGAGGGCATTCTTGGTGGTGGCCCCCTGTCTCTGGAACTCCCTCCCCAGGGAGATTAGGCAGGCACCCTCCCTACCCACATTCCGTAAGGAATTAAAGACGTGGATATTTTGTCGTGCTTTCAATTGACGACTCCTGTGACAAACGGCCTGTATCATGACCTGAATCGTCATTTAATCTGATGTCCTATATTATATTAAATGAATTGTTTCTGATTCTGTTAATTTGCTCTGTTTCCATGATATTTCCTATGCCATTATATGTTGTTATCCACCTTACTAAACCACCTTATCCTTTAACTAGCTCACATAGTGGCTTTCTTCCCCCCCCCCCCTCGAAAATTAATCTGCTGTTATTGTTGTTGCTAGCTATTATTGTTACGCTGTTTTACGCCGTCTTAATTGTTATTGCTTTGTTTTTAATTTGTATTCTGCCTTGGGCTTGGCCCCATGTAAGCCGCCCCAAGTCTGGAGAAGGACTTGAGAATCTCTGAAATGGTGGAAAACAATAGATTCGTATTGAGCCCTATGCTCAGTGCAAATCCATGCCTCCTGTCATTTCGCAGATCCCAGCTTGCAAATACTATGTTTTATACTATGTGGGTTATGTGGTTGATTGAATCTGTGAGTTTCCTCACCTCATCCTGAGGACTGGAGGGACCAGGCACTAAGACCTGCCAACCCTATTATAAAACCATGCCCTTCAGAAAACTCTTCCTACAGCTGGCAATCTATCCTGTACTAAGCAAATCCTCCATCCTTTGTCTTCTCTGATGTTGTATGCTGATGTTGTCAGCTTAAAAGACACCACAAAAGAGTGCTTTCCATTGAAAATCATAATCTACTTGTTGAACTCTGATATTTTTCAGACTTGGCTTTGGCTGAGGCCCTTTTTTAAAAAATGTCTGTGTGTCATCGTATAACCATTTCTCTTTCTTCTATTTCATGCAGCAAAATTCACAACAGAAACAAAAAGGAGGCCGCAAAAGATTGAACAGTCATGTTGCTGAAAATTTTGAGAAACGAAGAAGTGTTAATCTCAGTAGATGTGATACCCAGGTAATTACAAAAATTATACAGTCATTAAGATGAACTGATTTTTGATGTTAAAATTGCATGCACTAAGAGAGAGTTAAATGGTGGAGGGAAGGTTGCAGCTTATTTAAGAGGGAGTTGTTACTCTTGTAGGCTTCCACAGTGATCATACAAAATCCTCCAAAATTGTCTTTGTGTGGTGGCTAATAGTTCAATGTACACGAACTTTAATTTATGCAAAAAATATTAAAAATATTAAGTATAACATTATCTTCAGGCTATGTGTGTAAGTTAATAATAATAATAATAATAATAATAATAATAATAATAATGCACTTTATTTATAATCCGCTTTATCTCCCCTGAGGGACTCAGAGCGGATTACAATACACATATGAGGCAAACATTCATTGCCTTTTACACACAGACATACAACACAGACAAAGGTAAAGACTTTCCCCTTTTTCCATCTCCATCGTCTGGAGGCAATGCTCAACTCCAGCCATGGGGAGGTGCTCTTGTTCCATTTTTCCATGCCAAGGATCCTGTTGTCCATAGACATCTCAGATTGTGTTGCCTGCATATCTGCATGGGGTGCCCTTTTTTCTTCCCACTGAGGTGGTACCTATTGATTTACTTATGCTGCATGCTTTTGAACTGCTAGGTTGGCAGAAGCTAGAGCTGACAGGCGGGAACTCACCCCGATTCGCGGCTTTAAACTGCCAACTTTCTGGTGAGGAGCTTTCCTGCAGCTAGCGGTTTAACCCACTTTGCTAGTGCTGCACCTGGTATGAAACTCATATGAAACATGAATTTTGTATCTCCAAGATACCTCATTATGTATATGCAGGAATTCCAAATTGGAAAAATACAAAATATTTCTGGCCCGAATAATTTTGGATGAAGGATATTCAACCTGTACAACTGTATTTCATTCCCAAGCTCTGTGTTTGAGCCCATATTAATACACAGGTGGCCAAATATTGTTGTTTTCGGTAGTCCTTCTCAGCCACATCCTCTTCTTGAGCACTGTATTCCATCATCCCACCATGATCTCCCACACCTCAAACAATCAGCTTTGCCCTTATTGACTGTTCCAGGCTCTTTCCCCTGTGACATCATTTTTGTAGTTCTACAACCACTATCATCACCACTCCCTGTTTGCTGTTGCCTCCTTTTTATGCACAGATATTGCTGTTTTGGTTTCATAAAAGCCAAGCACAGAGTGAAATGAGATCAGTTTCAATATGCATGAGCATAGGCTGCAACAAAATGTTATAGCATGAACTCTGTCCCACCCAATTTCCTGTTCCCTTCCTACAACTAGACAGCATTCTGGACCCAAGAGTATGCTGTCTTAATTTGGCTGTTCTGTTTGCTTCCCCCTTCATCCTTTTTTCTTCTGCATTGAATTTATTAATACTCCCTTCTGATGCATGTATTACTTCATTTGGGGGACATAAGGACTGATTCTTAGGAAAGTGGGTTTGCTCTTTGTATTTTTCTTGATGTTTCTAAATGCTAGTAAGACCACAGACTAACAATACATTGCATTTCAAAATCTCATAGAACTCCCAAGAATCTGCAGATGAAGCCTTGTCCCAGGTGAAGGCAAAGTTCCCATTCTCCCGTCGGGGAGATAATCAGTCATCCCAACAGTTGACACCACAAACCAATTCATTCATGGCAAATATCTTTGGGAAAGCATCAGCAGTGAGAAATATATGGACGGACCACCAGATTCGGCAGGCGTTGTTTCCAAGCAGACACCCCCTGCAAGAGAATCTGGAGGATGAAGATGATTATCAGATGTTTGTACCATCTGAGTCTACATCCAATTTAGCTTCCATCTCATGTGAAGAAAGGATCTCATCAGGTCGCCCTTGCAGCTGGCATGTAGGACTAAGCCACACAAGTGACATTTCCAGTTCTGCTTCTCACAGGGTTGTGAGACGGGCCAGCAGTGCTGGTGAAAGTAAAACTTCTCCATCTGCTTCAAGATACAGGAAAAGTGACCTTGGTCGAAATACTTCATGGCATGAAATGAAAAGTTCTAGAAGTGACATGGATAATCTGCAAGTGTACCCTGAATCTTCCGAAGAGCTGACCATTGATGACATAGACCATGTCTATGACAATATAAGTTTTGAAGATTTGAAACTAATGGGCCTGGCTCGGAGGGAGGAGTCTGACCGTGTTCCACAAGGATCAGCTAAAGATTCACTTTATGAGACACAAGATGAAGAAATTACTTTCATGAAAAGACACACACCTCAACACAATATCTTCATTCCTACTAAGAGAGATGAAACAATTCCCAGGAAGGACATTCTACCTGTAAGCTCTCATGATCTAAGGATCAGTGAGGAGAATGTCTATGATACCATAGTCCTCCCAGAGCCATCTCTGCTAGATTTCAAATGCAATCGTCTGAAATGCTCCAAAAAGCGGGGCTTTCTGGGTCTGGAAACAGATTTTGCATGCTGTGATCACCTCCAAAATTTTGTTTCTGAAGAAAGCCTCCATTTCAGTGAAGATGAAAACCCATATCATTATGTTCCTTTAGATCGTGACTATTTGAGTTTGTTAGACAGCTCCTCAAACTCGGATTCCCACTCTCACAAGTCTGTCGCAGATAAATTATCAGAAGAAGTAGATGAAATCTGGAATGACCTGGAAAATTACATCAAGAAGAATGAAGAAAAGACACGGGATCATGTCCTTGCAGCCTTTCCTGTCTCCAAAGATGACATTGATAACACTTCTATTGGAACTACTTGCAAAATAAATAAAGATGGGGAAAATTCATTGTCAGAAACACCTTTTTCCCCAAAAACCTTGCCTATCAAAGTAGCCAGGTTAAGTGATCCCAGTCTTAGGCCTGAAGAGGCAGTATCACATAAAGCAAACTCACAGATGAGTCTGAATAGATCTTCAGTCTCTGAGATAGCTTTTGTAGATAGCCTTTATGAAACAGCCAATAGCTTTCTTTGTGGTGCAAATGTTGAGAATGTTGACAATGAAATGGATGCTTCAGATAAAACAAAAAACCGGGTCATCGTGATGGCAAGACAATACAGCCAAAAAATTAAAAAGGCAAATCAGCTTCTGAAAGTAAAAAGCCCAGAACAAGAGCAATTTCTGAAATCAAAGCACAAGGACTTAGCAGCCATTTTGGAAGAGAATAAGCAAGGTGGTCCTGCCATTGGTATGTTCACCATTTTTTATTTTATCCATTTAAATAAGCATATTGAATAGTTTGGTTCCAACTTCTGTCCATATTTAATCCACTAGAAGATCAGTATTTTCATAAATTAGCCTAAATACAAGATAGTCCATACAACTTTGTTCTTTTGAGATGAGTAAAACTTTTCTCATACTTGATTTTACATGAGTGGGGTAAAACAGTGGATCACAAGCTATTCCTTAACTATAGATACAGATAATACAATGGAAAGTACACAATTCCAATATATGCAGTCCAATTTAATAGACTACTACCAAATAAGTACACATAATTACAGACTTACCAATAGTTTTACTGTGACTGCTACTTATATACTGTAATAAGTAAATATTGATAGGCTTCTCCCCGAAGGTTTTTAATTGCCTGAAAGTTATTGTTCATATTGTGGTTTATTATACACAGTGTATTTTAAAATACATTATACATTTCTTTTTCTCTCAGGTGCCAGAATTGCTGAGTATTCCCAACTCTACGATCAGATTGTTTTCCGTGAAACATCACCCAAAACACAAAAGAGCAGTTCTCAGGAACCATCAACTGTTCGGTATTCTTCCCCTGTGTCAACATCTCAGTTAGGTGCTGAACACATAAGATCAGAAGACTGGCTTTTGCGCTCTATGTACAGTAATGGAGAGCTCTCTGATTTTTCCCCTTGGCTGGAAGACCCTCAGCTGAACTCCAAAACCTCTCCTTCCAAAATAAACTCCCCAAAACAGAACAGGAGGCATTTGCCAACAGCCTGTTCAGTGCCTTCCCTTCAGACTCCTGGCCACTTCAGTGTTCCTGCACAAAGATGGAGCGCCATTATTAGCCAGCCTAACAAAGAGAACTTGCACCACAGTCATATTTATAACTCTTTGGGGAGGAGAGAAAGCAGCACCAAGTCGCAAATGTACAACAGGTCACAGTCATCATCTTCAATTGTATTCTCAAAGTCTGGGGACTCCATAAATTATCTGACTGAGATGGAGAAGAAGCAGCTGCATTCAAACAGTAACTCCCTTTGTGACCACCAGCAAGAATCTGTTTCAGGTGCTGCTGCGAGACTTACTTCATATGATGGGATAAAACAGACCCAAGAGAATTTTCCAGAAATGATTCTGCAGGACTCCCAAAAAGTCCTAAGGGTCAATAAAAACTTGCTCTCAAATGCACAAATAGCCAGACAGAACTATTTTTCTAATTTCAAAGATACTGATGATGGGGAAGGGGACGATGACGACTATGTTGAAATCAAATCTGAAGATGAAGGATCTGATTTAGAGATGTTTCAGAACCAAACAAAACTTTCAGATCCAAAGATAAACTCTTCTCTTTCAGAAGCTCAAAGTGGCAAAAATACATCCCAACCACCCACTAAAACATCAGATTCTTTCTTGAACACATGTGGTGATGCAGATAAATTGAATGACTACCTATGGAGAGTGCCATCTCCAAATCAACAAAACATTGTTCAGTCCTTACGGGAAAAATTTCAGTGTTTGAGCTCAAGTAGCTTTGCTTGATTTTTTAAAAAATCATATTGTTTTGCCTTAATGCTGACAGCCAGTACTTGTAAAAACATATTGTAGTGTATGTTGTTGTTTTAAACTACCATCTTCGGGGAAAGTTAGCTGTTTTTGTGCTGCCAGGTAGCTGAATGGCTTTTTTCTGCAGGCAGATGTCTGGCTTTTCTTTGCGTACATTTTGGTCAGTCAATAAGCCAGACTTTTACATTTTTTTTGAAATGGGGTAATTATGACCCAAGGTGCAAAATGTTCCATGAATAACTAGTAGCAGTTGTATAAAATACTCTCAGGATTGCTTTCTTTAAAACCATACTTACATGTTTATAAACAGTGTAAAACAGGATCTTACTAGTATGTTGCCATTTGGCACCACAAGGGTTAGGATCGTATTCTCATGTTTTTGCAGTTGGCCAATTAGCTCTGAAAAGTGTGTGTGTGTGTGTGCGTGTGTGTGTGTGGTACAAACCAAATAGGAAATTATGGGATCAACCAGGAAAAAAATTCAAAAGCACCTTTTGTCTGATTCAAGCTTTTGAGAAAAGTTGCTATGTCCTGTTTGAGAAATGACTTGCAGGCATTGATAAACCTAGAATTTAATAAGCACCGTTCAGAAAGGTTTCTGGTCATGTGAAGCTTTTAAAAGAGTTTTACTTTATGCTAAATACATTCCATTTGTTCGCTTATAAGATCTTAACATCTCCCATTTATAACATGGATATATATACTGGGTAATTTTTTTTAGACGTTCAGTATTCCTGAGTACTGGATGTGGAAAGTGACCACCAAGATTTGGGGAGGGGGGCTCACTCTGTACACTGTAAATATTGTCCTCCCCTAAGGCTGGTCCAGTTGACAAGGAATATCCATCTCTGGAGAGGGAATGCTACATTTGCTCATACCTTCTTTCACAACACCCTTCACACTGGTGCCAGTCATGTTGTCTAGGGGAAGTTTCTAGCACATGCGCTAGAAACTTCCCCTTGATCTCCATAGTGCCAAGGAACAGAAAATTGTTCATGCACTCAGCTGCACAGTTTAACTCAAATGGTTCAATAGGGAGTATTCTAAGGTGCAATACAATCCCTGCTACATAGTTTTGCCTTGTGTTACTTGAAACAATAGCATGTCTAACATAACACTGAATATCTAGCCAGTTTTCAGATGAACTATGTTCATAGTGATCTAGAAGTACACTGAAACACAAAGCACAACTCGCCTTTGTTTTCACCTGCCAACGGTTGCTTTTACAAATGGTTTTTTAACATAACCCTCCAACTAGCAGGCATATAATCAATTGTACTGAAAGAAATATTTAAGAATTCATAGCTGCTGAGTAACTGTGCATACTACAAAAGCATTTGTTTCTTAACATTGTGAATAACTACTTCATGAGATTTGAAACTAAAACTTAACCCTGAACTCTACATGTTATATATACAAGTGGTTACACTAGAGGAGCTGACAGAAATTCAACCTGTGTCTAGTAAAACTGATAAGGAATATGTAAGTGTACATGCAATGAGGAAATACCATTTTTATTTAATAAAACATGTACAGTAATGTAAATAACAGTAATTTGAGTGCAGCAACAATAGGGACAGTTGGTTTCTTTGTACTGGTAGCAGACTACTAGTTATTCTGATAAAAGATAATTTTAATCTATAGAGACCAGTGGAATACAATTATTAACATGTAGCAATGTAAGGAAACCATATCAGATGAAAATGTTGGTACGTTTAGCCTTGCTGGGAAGAAAGGAGCAAAAATTGACAAGCGACTAAGCCTAGGAAATTGTTCTGATAAAATAAAAGGGAATAACAATTTTAGAAGGTTGTGGGCAAACAAAGCATTATAAAGAGAAATAAACTTTGCATCTAATCCATGCATAATCTCTATCATCTTCTATTACAATTTGCCCCCATACCACCCCCAAAAAATCTGTAACCAGTTATAAAGAAAAGTACATATACCTAAATAATAGAAAAAACAAGAACAAATCTATGAAATATGTAGCCAAATAGCAAAAGAATGTTCGCATCCCTTGGGCTTGATGTTTACCTGTGCACTTGGTAAATAAACAGTTGGAGATTCTGTATAAAAGACATTACAATTATTTTATGACTATTTGCTCTCAATGTACTCTCTATTCTAGAAATTTTTTAAGGCTACAATTGTCATAATAAGCAAATTTGATTTTTATTTTTTTTTACTTTTTTGAGTGTTGCTCAACACATTATTCCATTCACAGCAGTGGGGAGCATAAAAAGGATAAAATGAGGGCACAGCAAGGAAAGAACAGTTAACATTAGAGTCACTGGGTCAGAAAATAAGGCTGCAATAGAGGGAATGTTACAAAGCACACTGCAATAGCGTTCCTTTTGTTACCCTGTTACTTGTTTTCATGGCAGCTCTTTTCCTTTGAAGATTTATATTTTTCCTTTGTAACTTTTATGGACAACATTTGAAACAAGGCTTATCTGAACCATCCATTCACCATATTACATCTGTATCTGTTAATAGTACCTGCACTGCAGTGTTGTACAGGGGTCAAAATGAAGTCATTGATCCAGGATGGATTCACACTGCATCTTCACTGATTTCTACATGTTTGTTAGCAATTTATTCTATTAGTAAGAGACAGAATCTCTATGTTGCACTTTTTCATGACTCACTTTGTAAGGAATATGTAAAAATGTATGTACATGTAGAACACTTAAGTAAAGCTTTTCCCATTTTGTTATGCTTAAAAGCAGAGTTTAAGGCATAGCAGACCTTAAGAAATCTGTACATGCTGCTTAAGAATAAATATTAATTTTTGCAGCAAATAATTTGCAAACTGCTATGTTTTTAAAGGAGCAACACCAGAAGGATTCACTATGGTGTGGTGTACATTTTTTTTCTCATTAGTAGATCAGTTTCAAGGTTTGGCTGTGGCTCATATTAAGTTATGAACATATTAACAACTTAAGATATGGATTCAAAACAAGACAATAGGCCTGGATCCAAATTTCTCCTGGATGGTAGAAATCAAGACCAATATTCAATCCAATCAACTACTGATCAATCAGTTTATCCATACAAGGTAATGGTATAAAACATAATTACAAGCATTTAAGAGTGGTGTGATGAAAACAAATTAAATAATATCACATTTTTGACATACTATATTTACAAATTTGTAGCTCAGAGAAATGATGGAAGAACTGATGGAAGATGTAGAACTTGATTTCGGTAAGAGAAAGACTGTTGACAAAGCATATAGAATCATAGCATCAAAGAGTTGGAAGAGATCTCATGGGCCATCCAGTCCAACCCCCTGCCAAGAAGCAGGAATTTTGCATGATATTTTGCATGAATTTTGCAAGAATATCGATATTCTTGCCAATAATGTGGTAAAACATATGCTAGACAATGCTACTATAGGGTTGATTTTTAACAATTTGGCAGACCAGACCCAAAGTGTGGTCACCGAAGCTTCTTTATTATCATGGTGAAAAGTACTGATGTTGGGTGCCTCAGGATTCTGCCTCAGCCCAGTGTTTTTTAACATCTTTTTAAGTCATGTGGATGATGGAATAAAGGGCATGCTTATATAAATAACAGATAGCCCAAAATTAGGAAGGGTAACTTCCTTCAGAAGCCAGAATCAGGATTCACCAGTGGTTCCCAACCTGTGTGTGGTCCATGGACCACCAGTGGTCCACAAGAACTAAAATATGGTCTGCAGCCTCACCATTACTACACCATTGCAATGAGAGTGACCAAACTCCGGAAACCCTCTAATAGTTCTGAGGCTTATTAAATATGGTCTTCTGTGGGTGACCAGATGGTGATTACTGGATGGCATATGCTCTATATCAGAAGCTAGAGCTCATGTGATCTATCCAATGCAATTTTCTGAATCGGCACCCCAAATAACCAAACTGAATCTAAAATTGACCACAAGCTGATTCATAACCCTTTTGGTATTAATGTTGGAGAGTGGTCCCTGGTCAAAAAAAGGTTGGGAACCACTGGTCTAAACTGACTGGAGAGCTGGGACAAAAATAAAAATGAATTTCAGCAGGGAGAAGTGTAAGGTATTACACTTAGGACAGAAGAAATTAACAGAGAAAGCTATGATGGGTGGCACCCAGATCGAGAAGAGTACATGTGAAAAGGATGCAGTAGCTTTAAAAGCCACTGTAATTCTAGGGTGCATCAATAGAAGCATAGTGTCTGGATCAAGAAATAGCCACACTCTATTCTGCTTTGATCAAACCCCACCTGGAATACAGTGTCCAGTTCTGGGCACTACAATTCAAGGACAAACTGGAACATGTGCAGAGGATGGTGTTCAAAACAGTGAAAGGTTTGGACTCAAATCCTTAGGGAGCAGGCCATGTCTAGCCTGAACAAAAGGTTAAGAAATGACATGATAGCCGTGTCTGAATATTTGAAGGGATGTCATATTGAACATGGCGCCAGCTTGTTTTCTTCTGCTCCAGACCACAGGCCACAGAGCAATGGATTCAAACTATGGGATTTAAGATTCCATCTAAACAATAAGAATAATTTCCTGATGGTAAGAGTTGTTCAGCAGTGGAATACGCTGCCTTGGGATGTGGCAGTGTTTTCAATGTTTTTAAACTAAGGTTGGATGACTATGTGTCTAGAGTGCTTTCATTGTGTATTTTTAGCAGGGGGTTGGACTGGATGTCTTTTGTGGTCTCTTGCAATTATAGTATTCTATGAAAATTTTTCATCTAAACATTAGAAAGCACCTTCTTCAAGAACTGAGAGACTTCAAGGGCCATCTAATCCGACCTCCTGATATGCAGAACTACACAACTAAAGCACATGTAAGAGATGGCCACCCAAAATGTTTTTAAACCACAAAAGAGTAATAGAATACATACCTCAAATGTAGTTCCCCAAGGATATGACTATGCATATGCCCTCCCTACTGGCTACAAGTTGACTCTGACTTGTGATTATGTTTTCACTGAGAGACCTCCAAACCACCTTATCCTTAGCCGAGAGCCATGGCCTTTCTGGTTGATCCCAACAATCTGGAATGTGGTCTTCTCTTTTCCTACTGCCCGCCACTTTAACAAGCATTCTCATCTTTTCTAACAAATCATCTCTTCTGATGATATGGTCAAACATACAGTAGATTTGGTGTAGCCATCTGGGTACAGCTTCTGGGTAGTTAGCTCTAGGGCCCATTTATTTATCTATTTAGTAGTCCATAGCACCCACAGAACTATCGGCTTTTTCCCCAGGCACCTTTCACAAACATACAAAGTATTTGAAGACACAATGGCATGAAACCATCCTAACGTTATTTATGTTATGTATGTACACTTCAGACTCATGTCTAGTTCCTTTGTAACAGTGCTTTCAACTTATCACCACTACTACTGCCACTAGTATTTATTATTTATACAGTGCTTTTACCTGGCACTTTACGAATAAAAAATAAAAACACAGTCCTTGTATATGTGTTTGTGGCTGGGGTGCCCACTTCCACAAGAAGCTTTAACCCACAGTGCTGAGGAGCCACCAAAAGCCCTCCCTCCATTGATATTTCAGGTTATATTGAGCGTCATGAACATGTTGCCCAACCCGTACTTACTTAGGCAATCCCTCGTTGTCCGAGTAGGATTGTCTTCCAAGATCAGTGTACTGGCAGTGGGTCCGTAGGTGACCGTGGAGCCCTATTCTTGATCTGCAACTTCTCCTGCAGTGAGGGCATTGGTTTCCAGGTGGAAGGCAGTCCCGGTCGGGGTTGGCTTGACATGCCTTCCTCTTGGCACGTTTCTCTCTTTTGCCTTCCATTCGTGCCTCTTCAATTCTACAGCACTGCTGGTCACAGCTGACCTCCAGCTGGAGCTCTCAAGGGCCAGGGCTTCCCAGTTCTCAGTGTGTATGCCAGAGTTTTTAAGATTGGCTTTGAGCCCATCTTTAAATCTCTTTTCCTGCCCACCAACATTCCATTTGCCGTTCTTGAGTTCGGAATAGAGCAACTGTTTTGGGAGACGGTGGTCGGGCATCCGGAGTTGATGGTGTAGGAGCATCACTTCGATGCTAGTGGTGTTTGCTTCTTCCAGCACGCTGACATTTGTCCACTTGTCTTCCCAAGAGATTTGCAGGATTTTCCGGAGGCAGCGCTGATGGAATCGTTCCAGGAGTTGCATGTGACATCTGTAGACAGTTCATGTCTTGCAGGCGTATAGCAGGGTTGGGAGGACAATAGCTTTATAAACAAGGACCTTGGTATCCCTACGGGTGTCTCAGTCCTCAAACACTCTCTGCTTCATTTGGAAAAAAGCTGCACTCGCAGAGGTCAGGCGGTGTTGTATTTCAGTGTCAATATTGACTTTCTTGGAGAGGTGGCTGCCAAGGTAGCGGAAATGGTCAACATTTTCTAATGTTACACCATTAAGCTGTATTTCAGGCATTGGAGAGGGATTGGCTGGTGACTGCTGGAAGAGCACTCAATGTTCAGTGACAGGCCGAGCCTCTCATATGCTTTTACAAAGGTGTTTAGAGTGGCTTGTAGGTCTTCTTTTGAATGCGCACAGATGACGTTGTCATCAGCATATTACAATTCTGTAACAGATGTTGTTATAACCTTAGTTTTGGTTTTCAGTCTGCCCAACCCATGTCAATGTCCTCTCCAAACACCATACTGCCCACCACCCAAGGAATGTTTTCATTCAGGAACAATTTCATCCTAGATTTTACATGCTTCCTCCACCATTGGTGTGGAATTTGCATGACCCCACCCACTGCCCCTCTCTTAACCTTTTCCTACTCTTTTCAATTGTTTGCACAACAAACAGAGCAAAACTCATGAGCAACTACACCTACTGGAGGGGTTTGTGGGATTAACTCCACATGACGGAAATTGTTTACCCTGCATCAAGTCAGAGCACTGTGACCGCCACTGACAGTGGACCTGGACCACATTTGGCACACAGAACCCTCATGACTAAAGAGGTTTGGAGAGAATTCACCTTGATTTATAGCCATGGTAGGTACTAGGATTTATAGTTCACCTGCAATCAATGAGCACTGAACTCCACCAAAGATAGAATTCTACCATTTTACTATGATATGTTAGAGGAGGTCCGTGGGTGTGATCCCATGGGTTACTACACTGGGTGATGTCAGAAATATTAAAAATAACAAAAAATGTGAATCAAGCACTGAAAGGATTAAGTGGATGCAATAACTCAGCAAACCTGCAGTTCAATATAAGCAAACATGCCTGTTGCTTAGTCAGAGAGAGCTGTGTGTGAGAGATGCCTCTTTGTGTGAGAGAATGCCTCAGTGGGAGAAAGGTCTCAGTGGTAGTAGGCCCCACTGTGGGAGAATAGGACATAGTCTGTGAGAGAAGGCCTCACGATGTGATGTAGGCCTTAGTGTGTGAGGTAAGCATCGGTATGAGAAGGCCTTCTGTGTGAAGCTCCAGTGTGAAGGTTGAACTTTATTTGTGTTATGGAAACCTTATTCTTGTAAATAGTGCAACCATATTATTTTACTACAAAGAAAGGCCTCCTATGGAACAGATAACATTGGTCTGTGTGTTTTTGTTCTTTTTGGGCTATTGGTGCTGGGTCATGCTGCTGCAGGGTTACTCTGCTGTACTTTTGCGGGGGGGTGGGGGGTGGGATGGGCTTTAGCACAGTAGGTTAACCACCAGCTGCAATAAATCTTGCCAACCGGAAGGTTAACAGTTCAAAGTCAGGGTGAGTTCCTGATCTTTAGCCCAGCTCCCTGCCCACCCAACAGATTGAAAACAAATGTGAGTAGATAGTTACTAGGCTAAAGTGGAGAGGTAATTAGGCACAACATTTTGATCATAAAAAGAGGAAGCTTACGGACAAAAGAAAGCTCTTTGCCAAGGAGATGGAGCGACAGCACCCCCTCCCCCCATGTCCAGAATGAAGCACAGCCCCCAAAATGCCAAAAGAAGGGAAAGCCTATATATATCTCTATCTGTTGTCTGTCTTGTCATTGCATAATTGGCACTGAATGTTTGCCATCTATGTGTTCCATGATCCGCCCTGAGTCCCCTTCGAGGTGAAAAGGGTGGAATATAAATACGGTAAATAAATAAATAAATTTATGAGGGTTTTTTGTTAATAAGCCCATTTGCCAAACAGGTGATACCAACCCTAATGATGCCACTGCTATGCTAACAAAAATCCACACTTTCTTGGCTGCCACTCTGCTATACTTATTTGTCCGAACGTATCTCCCTCTACATCCCGCCTTGCAGTTTATGATCATCCGGGAAGACCCTGCTCTCGCTCCTGCCAGTGTCGCAAATATGTCTGGTGGGGATGAGAGACAGGGCCTTCTCAGCTGTAGCCCCTGCCTGTGGAACTCTCTTCCCAACGAGGAAAGATCGGCTTCATCCCTCCTGTCTTTTAGGAAGAAATTGAAGTCGTGGCTCTGGGACTAGGCTTTTGGACAGCAGGCAGAAATAGCGCTTTAGATATGGAATTAGACTGGAAAGGTGATATGGCAGTTAATACAGTTTTTATTGTTTTAATTAATGTTTTATTTATTGTTTTAATTGTTATATTGCTTTGATATATTTAATGGCATCAAATTGTGCCAAATGTAAGCTGTCCTGAGCCCCCCTTCGGCGGTTGAGAAGGATGGGGTAGAAAAACTGGAAATAAATAAAATAAAAACAGCATTGTGGGAGCTGGACTTCAACTCCCACAATAACAATAACAATAATAATCATCATCATCCCAGGTGACAGCAGGATTGAAGAGAAATAACTGGAAAAGCTGACACAATATGAGGATTTAAAGATTGAACTGCAAAGACTCTGGCACAAGTCAGAAAAGGTGGTCCCAGTGGTGATCAGCACACTGGGTGCAGTGCTTAAAGACCTTGGCCTGCACTTAAACACAATCAACGCTGACAAAATTACCATCTGCCAATGTGGGATCTGCACACATTATTTGCCGATACATCACATAGTTGTAGACACTTGGGAAGTGTCCGACATATGACCCAATTCAACAGGTTGCAGAGTGTCTACTGTGGACTCATCTTGTTGTGTTTCAAATAATAATAATAATAATAATAATCATCATCATCATCATCATCATCATCATTATTTACAAACCGCCACCATCTCCCCAACAGGGACTTGGGGTGGCTTACATGAGGTCAAGCCCAACAATACATTACAATACAATAAAACCAAAGCACAAAAAAAAAACACAATACAATAAAGCAAATAAAATAATAATACCATGAGAAATCATTCACAATCACAATGTACAAGATAAAATGGGAAACACTCAGGGTTCCTAACAGCCTCAGGCCCTTTCCTTCCCCCCCTTCAGCCGCTTAAAAGGAAGGGGCCTGAGGCTGTTCGGAATGGTGGGAGTTGAAGTCCACACCACCTGGAGGGAGGGAGTGAGGGCCGAAGTTTGCCCAGGCCTGCTCTATGCTATGGGATCCTGGGCTTTGGAGTTGAATGAGGCCAAACTCAAGAGACCTGGCGAAAGCGCCACTGCCAGGCTTCCCCGGCGTTGAGCCATTAAGAGTGACCGGGGTGTCGCTTGGGGCTGGAGCTGGAGCCTGGGCCAAGGGATGCTCCTCCACGGGTGCCTGGGCGTGCTGCAGAGCTGAGGGAGGCCCCGCCTTCGTGGGCCCTTCTCCCCGGGCAGGAGGCACCCGAGGCCGGTCCCTCCCAGGACGCAGCCCCTCCTCCTCCTCCTCTTTCTTGCTTTCTTTCCTTCTTTCTTCTGCGCCCAGCAACACCATGAGGCTCCTGGCGCTGCGCCGCTTCCCTTGGAGGCTGCTGCTCCGAGCGGCGTCTCTCCGCACCGAGCCAAAGCCAAGCAGCGGCGGGGTCTCTCGGGGTTTTGGGGGCCCTGCAAGCGCCCCCCGCGCCTCTTTCCACCAGGGCCTTGGCAGCCGGGCCACGCAACAGGGCGGATGCGGAGCAGCCAGGTAGGAGGAGGAGGGCGCCCGGTGCCTCCGTGGCACTCTCTCTCTCACTCACTCTCTCTCTCTCTCACTTTCCAGCCAGCCTTTCTTCTTCCCACGTGGAGGGTCCCTCTCGGCCCCGCCTCCGCGCTGTTGTCGTCTGATGCAACAACGCCGTCCGCCCGCCCGCCGGCAGGGGGAGTGGCACGTCGGGCAACCAATGGGCGGCCGGGAAGCTAAAGATGGCGCTCCCTATTGGCTCATCCGGGCTCCGCGGTTTCCCTTGCTTTTCCTCCGCCAGCGCTTTTGAGTGGCTTGCCGCCAGTCACAGGGCTTCTTAAACTTTTCCACTAGAGATCCCTTTCCAGCCCCAGAAATGTTTACGTGACCCAGGTATAGAGGCATATAACTAGGCGCCTTTCCACACAACAACAACAACTCTAGCACAAAGGTTGCTGTAGGTTTTTTCGGGCTATATGGCCATGCTCTAGAGGCATTCTCTCCTGACGTTTCGCCTGCATTTATGGCAAGCATCCTCAGAGGTAGTGATGCAGGCGAAATGTCAGGAGAGAATGCCTCTAGAACTTGGCCATATAGGCCGAAAAATCCTACAACAGGCCATGAAAGCCTTCGACCATACATTGAACTCTAGCACAAGCCAGTAAGGATGATCGGCACACTGGGTGCAGTGCCTAAAGACCTTGGCCTGCACTTAAAAACAATCAGCGCTGACAAATAATAATAGGTAAGGTAGGTAAAGGTTTTCCCCTGACATTAAGTCTAGTCGTGTCCGACTCAGGGGTGGTGCTCATCTCCATTTCTAAGCCGAAGAGGCGGCGTTTTCCGTAGTCACCTCCAAGGTCATGTGGCCGGCATGACTTCATGGGGCGCCGTTACCTTCCCACTGGCAATACTGGAACCTTTTTGAGGCCCAGAGGATGATGCCGCAAACCATAAAACACTGATGCACATTTGGGGCTTTCTTTTGTGCATTTTTGTGGGAGTTTGTTGTCTGGCTGCTGGAGATTGACACTAGTGCTGAACTGCATTCAATGGTCAGATGAGGCTTTAGTGACAACAATAATAACAACAACAACTATATTTGTATCCTGCCACCATCTCACAGAAGCGACTCAGGCAGCTTATAGAACAGCACATTGGCTGCTTGATGGTTCAACAGGCACAAAGGTATTACAAATATTGTGTCAAAAATGAACCTCAGGCAGTTGTTCATAAAGTGTCTATGAAACATGAAGGAATTTCGCGAGTTCGACATAGGCGCTATCTCTTGTGCAACATAGTCATTATCTAAAAATGCACATATTAAAACGTATTGGGTGCAGCATTCCAGGAGGCAGTACAATACCAGGTTGATGCATAGAGTGGACAAAGCAAGCTCCTGCTCCAGCTCTTATTTCCAAAAACCTATTTAATAGATGGTTCTCAAATAGAGGACATATCAGATATTAAACTAATAAGAACAGATGCTACAGTTGCTATTAGCCAGTTACTTAGGTTATCCCTCATTGTCCGAAGATGATGGTCCTCCAAGGTCGGTGTTCTGGCGGTGGGTCTGCAGGTGACTGTGGAGCCCTATTCTTGATCTGCATCTTCTCCCGCAGTGTAGGCATTGGTTTCCAGGTGGAAGGCGGTCCTGGTCAGGGTTGGCTTGACATGCCTTCATCTTGGTACGTTTCTCTCTTTTGCCTTCCATTCATGCCCCTTCAAATTCTACAGCACTGCTGGTCACAGCTGACCTCCAACTGGAGAGCTCAAGGGCCAGGGCTTCCCAGTTCTCAGTGTCTATGCCAGAGTTTTTAAGGTTGGCTTTGAGCCCATCTTTAAATCTCTATTAGCCAAGAGGCTGAGAGGCAATTACAAACTAGTGCATGGTATTTATGGCAAAATCGATCAGTTGTAATTGTGCTTGTGTGCTAGGTAGAAAAATGCATAAGAAGGTGTAATTGTTTCATACACCATACTGATGAGAATAATGCTGGTTTTATTTTTAGGGAAATCATTGAGACCTCTAGGAAAGCCCTGAATGTTTTGCAGAAAGAACATCCTGCACTGACGCCAACGCTCTCGGTTGTCCAGGTGAGAGAAACAAACGCCACCAAGTGTTAGCCATCCAGAGCAAGGAACTTGAGCTTTGTCTGTAAAAGCAGGGAAAGCTGTAGTGTATGAGTGGCATTGATAGTAGTGGAATGAAAATCTTACTTTTAGATTCAGAGTGATAAACAGGCAGAAAAGAATATATCAGATATACTTATGGTTGATGAAAATGTAGGTGTGGATTTTGCAATTCCTGATGATAGCAGAAGCAAAGGAAAACAAAGGTTATGAAATACTGAGATAGAGAAATGTGCCTCTGGGAAAAGGGAACAGGTGTGGTTCCAGTGGTGCTGATGTTCTGGAATCATAGAATCATTGAGTTGGAAGAGATCTTGTGGGCCATCCAATCCAACCCCCTGTCAAGAAGCAGGAAAATCACATTCAAAGCACCCCCGACAGATGGCCATCCAGCCTCTGTTTAAAAGCTTCCAAGAAAGGAGCTTCCACCACAGTCCAGAGCAGAGAGTTCCACTGCTGAACAGCTTTCACAGTTAGGAAGTACTTTCTAATATTCAGGTGGAATCTCCTTTCCTGTAGTTTGAAGCCATTGTTCCACATTCTAGTCTCCAGGGCAGCAGAAAACAAGTTTGCTCCCGCCTTCCTATGACTTCCCATCACATTTATACGTGGCCATGATGTCTCCTCTTAGCTTTCAATTCTGCAGACTAAACATGCCCAGCTCTTTAAGCCGCTCCTCATAGGGCTTGTTCTCCAGACACTTTATCATTTTAGTCACCCTCCTCTGGACATATTCCAGCTTGTTGATATCTCCCTTCAATTGCAGTGCCCAGAATTGGACACAGTATTCCAGGTGTGGTCTGACCAAGGCAGAATAGAAGGGTAGCATGACTTCCCTGGATCTAGACACTATACTCCTATTGATGCAGGCTAAAATCCCACCACATGACAATGTTGTCTCCAAGGTCTTTTTCACATGTATTGCTATGTAATTAATTGACAAAACATCTGAATCAAAGCACCATAATGCTGAATATTCCAAGTAGCACTACTTGGAACATTCCCCATTATTTGACAATAATTTATCAATTACTGGATTCTTGGGTAGAGGAAAATAATTGATGTTCCCAAATGTAGTCGGAAATATCTGGCAGACTGTGAAACCAGGAATAATGTATTGTTCTGTTTGCTTCTCCTACTTTTATTGTAGTAGGCTAGCTTAGCCCTGCAATACAGTCCTGGGAAATTTGAGCATCCTTTTCCAAGATCGATGCTGTGGGTATTCTGAGGAGAGCCCAAATGCTGTACACTGTTTCCCAGTCTTATGATCTGTAGAATACTCTTGAAAACCACACTAGTTTGTTTCCATTTGTATCTTGTCCTGGCTTGCTTTGCTTCAGTATAACCACAATGTGCCAACATCAGCGTTGGGTTTTTAAAAAACAGCTGGGAATAGGCTTGTGAAGCCAAGCTACGCAGTGCCCCAAAAGGTGCCCAAAGGTGCCCAATTCTCTTTCATCCTTGCTAATGTTAAGGAACAGGAAATGTGTACTCAGTTTTTTCAGTGTGTCAGACAAGTTTATTTGGTAAAAGCCCTTAGTCATCCTAAAACATGCAGCGTAGTCAAGCTGAAGGATACATTTTGAAACAAACAACCTTTGTGATACTGAATCCTGTTTTGTGTATTTAATTCAAGAGCTATAACAGAAAGAATCCTAATGTGTAACATAGTCTCTATCATGTCATATACAGGGTGAGGCAGCATAATTTTCTTTTTTCAAAACTTAATAAAACCCATTGTATGAATCAGAAATTTTATTAATTTTTTTATAATGTAGGCACATACCTAAAGTTTTGTTTTACGTAGTTTTGAAGATCAAATTAGGTAGGTGACATCCCTCTTTCTCCACTGTCTCTCCAAAGAGGCAGGCTCCTACCCAGGCAACAGAAGATTTCTGGCGTTTGTCATGACTCTTGCCAGCATAGCAGGTGTTATGTTGGCAATTTCTTCCTGGATGTTGGTCTTCAAATCTTGTAGGGTCCTTGTACGGTTCACATAAACACGAGATTTCAAAAAACCCCATAGAAAAAAATCACAAGGGGCCAAATCTGGAGAGCGGGCCGGCCACTCCAAATCCGCTCGAAAAGTAGGCCTCAACGGCAAAAGCCCGCTCCTCACTGTTCCAATGCATGATGGTGACTGAACTGTGTCAGGACAAAACTTTATACTCTTGCCTCTCGAATGAGACCACTAGCGCTCCGCTACGTCTTCAACCGACTGAATGGCGCACATTTAAAAAAAGGAAGTTATGCTGCCTCACCCTGTATAACAAAACATCAATACACTGTTCAGAAAGTAAATTACTTTGAGCATTTCTTTCACCAGAAATATTCACTGGGGGATTTGCAAAATGAAATAGAAACATAGGGTGCATCTACACTGTAGAAATAGTGCAGTTCAACACCACTTTAACTGCTACGGCTCAGTTCTATAAAATCATGGGAGTTGCAGTTTGGTGAGGCCTTCCTGGTGGGCATCCTTTGACAGAGAAATGCTAAATACCTGCATATCTGCAACTCTCACGAACTCAGAGCATTGAACCATGGCAGTTAAAGTGATGACAAATTGCATAATTTTCTACAGTTTTTTTTAAAATCATGTCAGAAGCGACTTGAGAACATACTGCAAGTCGCTTCTGGTGTGAGAGAATTGGCCATCAACAGAGACGTTGCCCAGGAGACACCCAGATGTGTTATCATCCTGCTGGGAGGCTTCTCTCATGTCCCCACAAGCTAGAGCTGACAGACAGGAGCTCACCCCATCTCACGGATTTGAACCAGCAACCTCAGTAACCCAGCTTTCAGGTCAGCAGTCCAGCCATCATGAGGGTTTAATCCATTGTGTAAATGCATCGTAGAGTTGCAAGGGACAAAAAGAGTTGTTTAATCTAACCCACTACCATACACAGTTAAAGCACTCCTGGAAGATGCCATCCAATCTCTTTAAAGCTCTCTAAGGAAGGAGAGGTGGGATAATGGTAGTCCTGCCTACTATTCTTACAAGTCTATTTTGTGACCCTCAGTTGTTACCCTTTTTCCGCCTCGTAGAAGTAAATTGCCTACCTTAGAAACCTCCTGAAGTGGCAATTCATCTTTTTGAAAGGTTGCACATGCAAGTCTACTCATTTTCAAAACCAGATGTTGAGTTCTCTTTCTTCCAATTATGATTATTGTTGCTGTTACTACAAGTAGTAGTGGCAGCAATGGTAATAGCAGTAGTTCATAAAATTGGTCCCCAGACATATTTCAATTGTTATTCTCTGCAATACATAATAATAAGGTTTACCATGCCTTCCCTGCTGTAGACACACCACAGTTAATCATGTTCTCTATCATCCATTTCTAAGTTTGCTAACCAATTGTTAATGAAGTATAGATTATGTGCATTCATAACCCCCCCCCCCCAAGATTTTATCTTGACTGCTACAGTTTCTCTCTCTCTTTTTTCTTTTCTTTGCATCCTCTCAAGGTTGGTGATGATTTGGGACAAGAAATGATCAGAAATACTGCTGAAGAGGTGAGAATATAAAACCCTGATGCCACTCTCCCTTCCTCATATGACTGCAAGATGCTTGAGTTTATAGCAAACTACATATCTTTTTTCTTCACAGATTGGCTTGAATATGGTGCATGTTTGTCTTCCTCCTGACTGTACTGAAATGGAGGTAAATCTTTTCGTAAAATTAGTTATTTTCTTTTCTTTTGCTACTGAACGGATGCCATCTTCATCTGTGTCATTTTTCTAACTGCTTGTGAGCTAAATCCAATGCAATGATTTCAGTTCACTTAAACATGCTCAATTCTTTCTTGGATCTAGGTGTGTTTATTCAATGTGAATATAAAAAGCCTAACAAAATGCATAGGCCTGGAAATGTCAGTGAAAGATTGAATCGTGTGGTTGCTCAGAAATGTACAGAATTCAGTAGGAGCTATAGTGGTTCCAATAAGAAAATTATGTATCTATGTATTAGGCTTACGTTGTGCTAGAGTTCGCTGAGAACAAAGCACAGAACTCTGGGAAATGTAGTTTGGAAGGTGAGGAGCCTATGGCAGAGAATGCAAAAGGCCCTGCTCTAAACTACATTTCCCAGAATTCTGCTTGCATCAGAAAACCCCAACCAGGAGAGGGGAGAGATTTGTCTTTTTGTAGCATCAGCCAGTCAGAGTTCCAGTGAATGGTTGGATCTGTTGTTACTCTCATTATAGAAACAATTTTTTCACTAACTATTCTTTAGAAACACTTTAGAAATGAACAACCAGGTCCCCCTAATTTTGTAATTACTTTTTTTTTAATGATCGCACATGTCTAGTAAACAGAGGTTATTGAATCCAGGCTTGTGCTTTGACAATGAAGTCAGGAATATCCTTAAGATCCTAAAGAAGCTCC